AGGAGGAGGAGAAGGAGGAGGAGGAGGAGGAGGAGGAGGAGGAGGAGGAGGAGGAGGAGGGGGAGAAGGAGGAGGAGGAGGAGGAGGAGGAGGAGGACGAGGCTCCTGGAGGCCCCACAACGAAACCTCCTCGCCCGCGCTCCGCCCCCGCTGCCCCGTGGCAGGCCATGCGCGGGGAGGCCACCTCTGTGGCCCGCCACCAGTTCGGGAGCCGCGTCCTGGAGCGGCTCATCGAGCACTGCGGGGAGGTCGGCCGGGACCCCAGGGACGCAGAGAGAGCCATGGAGCGGGACAATGTGAGGGCGATCATCAGGGCCAACGTTTGGAGGGTATCTGCTTAGGGGTGGAGTTCATCGACCCCCATTCGCTCGTCGATCGCCGGTATGGGGCCGATAGCCCGCCCCGCCCAAGACCGTCCAGGTTCGCCATCGGGGTCCTATCGCTGATCTGTCGGCGAAACATCGACCTGTAATCAATCGACGATTCCAGGTCGATGTTTTCCCCCCTGGGCCGGCCCACCCTTTGCGTTGCCCCTCGGGTCAGGAACGCTTGGTTAGCGTGTCGCGCCGCTGGTTCTGGCCCACAGCGCTTCGGCGCGACACGCTAACCACGTCCCAGTCCCCAGGCACCCACTAGGGGGCCGCATGCGAACCCTACCCCCACCCCCCACGATTTCTGAGGGGGAGGGTGGGGTTCACTTCGCTCGGGAGCTCCCGAACGGAGTGACCCCCACCCTCCCCTCAGAAATCGTGGGGGGCAGGGGTAGGGTTGGCATGTGGCCCCCTAACCACGCCCCAGTCCCCAGGCGTCCACGCCCCGAGCTCTTCCCAGCCTCCCGCCCCGCCGAGCGGAGCGACGCGCGAGCCGCTCGCAGGGCATGGCGTGTCGCCCGAGCCGCCGCCGGCGACGCGCGGAGCGCAGGACTTCCTCGGCGCGGGAAGGGGGGAGGGAGAGGGGGTGGGAGGGAAGAGAGGAGGTGGAGGAGGAGTAGAAGGAGTAGCAGGAGGAGGAGGAGGAGGAGGAGGAGGAGGAGGAGGAGGAGGAGGAGGAGGAGGAGGAGGAGGAGGCAGGGCAGAGAGCACGTGAGGGAGGGGAAGCGGCGAGGGGACCACAGAGGAGCGAGCCCCCCTCCGCGGCGCCCGCGCGGCGGCACGTGAGCGGAGGCGTCCCCCCGCCCCCCTTGGCCAGTGCCACCACGGGGGGGGGGGCAGCCGCGGCCTCGAAGAGCGCGGGGGTGGGGGTGGGGGGGGGGGAGGCCCAGAGCTCCTGCGGACTCGTGGCTCCGTCCTGGCGCATTTCGCTCCGTCGCTCCTGCGCTGGCTGAGCTTTCGATCCGCGGGGATCCTGCGCGGGACGCCGTGGTCGGCGTTTCTGGAGACCGCGCCGATCTGGGCCAGACCTGGGGCCCCGGCGTTTCTGGAGACCGCGCCGATCTGGGCCAGGGCCCCCGACCTTCGTGTTTGCCCTCCTCTCGCCCCTCCGAGCAGTTCGGTGCAGTCGAGACTGATTAGCAGGTCGACCCTGCCAAATCGAGGGTGCCCTGGCGTCTCCTGAGCTTCGCGACCCATGCCTTCTTCCATTCCCATGGCAACGTGGCCCTCGGAAGGGTCTTGTGTCCTCTCGCGTGTCCTCTCCAGTCAGCCCCGGCTGCAGCAAATCATGGGAGCTTTGTGTACCCGCCTCCTCCTCGTTCCCCTTCTCCTCCTGGTTAGGATGCGTCCTGCGGCGGTCCTGGAGGGACCATTTCGAGTGAGTTGTTTTTTCACTCATTTGGCACGCGCTGGCCGTCCAGACCGCTACGGCGCGTGCCCGGTGAGGCTTGGTCTGTGGCTTCACAGTCACCTGGCAGCGCTCGCCACCTGCAGTAGTCCGCGCTCCCTACCCCCTAACAAAATACCCTCGCGATCCCGTCTCTAGAGTGCAATGGCGTCAATCAGCGTCTGGCAATCGATGGGAATGGCATCGATCCAGCGCCGATGTGGCGTCGACTAGCATACGTCGCCTCGCAAGGGCCAATGAGATGGCAAGGCCCTCGTGAGCCCCCCTGAGCGGCCCCCCGTCGGCGCTGCTCTTAGAGCAGCGCCGACGTCGAGAAGCTGCTCCCGCGCGGTCTCGTGGGGCCCACCCTCCACGATCCTCCAGCTTCCCCCGTCAGCCTCCGGCTGGCGACCTGTTGCCCCTTCGGCCGGCGCGCTCTGGGCGCCGGGCGCCTCTTGGATGTATATTTTCCTCCTCCTCCTCCTCCCTCCGCCTCCTCCTCCTCCTCCTCCTCCTTCCCTCCTCCCTCCTCCCTCCTCCCTCCTCCCTCCTCCCTCCTCCCTCCTCCCTCCTCCCTCCTCCCTCCTCCTCCTCCTCCTCCTCCTCCTCCTCCTCGATCTTCCGTAGCAATTTTGGCTGAAGACACCATGTCCCTCGGGGTCAGAGTGGAGACCTCTGCCCCCAGGACAGTTCCCACTCTTTCAGCTCCAGGGAATCGCTCCCCCCTGGAGTGCAGAGTTGCCCACGCCGCGCCCCGCATGCCAAATAAAGATGGGCCGAAGCGCGTCATCACCCGTCCAAAGAAGAAGCTCAAAAGAGGACAAAAGGGAGCTGCTCAGGCCGTGGGCGACCGCACCCACGATGATGGTGCAGGTAGTTCTTCTGGCCAGTCAGTTGATACTGGTGCTCCTTCTGCTACCTCTGAGGGTGTTGCTCTGGCGCAGGTGGCTGCGATGTATTCTGAAGACGACGGCAACAGTGACGACGAGTGGACCAAAGACGACTACATCAAGCAGCTGGCAGGCGATTCTGTCTCCCCAAAGATGGCAGAACACAGGGACGAGCTCATCCGCGACCTCACGCCAGTGGTCTCTTCGACAGTCGCCGTCCAAGTCAAAGATTTTTCTGCTCAGCTTGCTGAGCATTCTCTTGATGCTGGCAGGCTGGCTGAAGGTGTGCAGCAGCTTCCAAAAATGGCCAAGGATGCCTCCGAACAGTTCTGCTCCGAGAAGTTCGACGCTGACCAACGGAAGTTCCAGGAGCAGCTGGACAGGCACTCTATTCGTCTACGAGCCTGTGAGAGTCGCCTCGATGAGCACGACACCGTTCTGCAGACCCTGCGCGAACAGATTCAAGAGCTGCGCGGTGCCCTCGATCTCGCCAACGCCAAGCCATAGCCTCCTCCTGCCAGTGCTACTGGATCTGACAGGGAGGTCGACGCCACCATCATCCGTGTCATGGCCTCTAAGCTCGTCGAGCTCTCCGCGGTCCAGCAGATCCTCACCGACTGGATTGTCGAGTGCGGCGAGGATGCGAAGTTCTTCGCCATCTCCTCGCCCGAGAGCGTCGCCAGGCAGTTTACTATTCAATTTACAGGTGCTGCGGGCCCTGGGCCCGAAGGGTCACTCAAGTTCTTGGAGCCCAGAGGATCGCCCCTGGCCAGTGGAAGCGGTTCGAGGTCACTGCGGTGGACAATCAGCTGGCAAACTTGCACATCGGCGCTGACCAAAAAATCCCAAGGCAGATCAAGCTCGAGATCCAAGGCCGAAGAATTTGGGAGGCGTTCAAAGAGCTGGTCAGCGACAAGAGGTGGTTCTTCGATCGCAGCAGGGGCTGCGTCATGTCGGGCTGGGCTCCTGTCCTGCGGCTCTCGCCCAACCCTGGCAACGCGGCCTCGGAGGTTGCGTGGTCTGACGATGTGGTGCAGGGGCTCGGACTGCCTAAAGAACGATTGGCGGAAGCGACCAAGGGCATCATCTCCCCTCCTGATACAGCTGAGTGGAGTCTTTAACGGCTTCGCGACTGATGGGCTTCTGGCAGGTACCCCGTCTTTCTCCTTCTCATCATGGAACACGCGGGCCCTGTTGCAATGCCGGGGTGCGTCTGCCAAGCCGAAGCTTGCCCACCTCAAGCGCCTGGACTTCACCCGCGGTGTTGTCGCCCTCCGGGAAGTGCACCAGGACGGGGAGCAGCTCGTTGACTTCTTGTCGAAGACAGCCCCGCGTGCATGTGGCTTCACCAGTTACTGTGAGGGGTCTGCAGTACGCATCGGAGTCACCATGATTCTTCCTGCGGTGTGCCCAGCTGAGGTTTCTCACTGGTCTCTGGCTCATGGTGCAGTGCTACGAGTAGTGCTGGAACTGGATGGCTACCGCATTTATGATTTCAATGTTCACCACCACGATCTGGCCACCACTCAGCTGAACTATGTCTCCAAGGTGTTGACAGCGGACCTCAAGATGGCTCCATGCGATCTTTTACACCGCGTGGTGGTGCTCCACGGAGACCTGAACTTTGCCCCTCGCTTTCCTCTCCTTCTTCAGCCTCGTCGACGCCTTGCTGGAAGCAGAGGACAACGTGCCCGCGCTGGTAGGTGGGAGAAGACACTTTGCTCCATGGTCGAGATCTCGTGTGACGAGCCCACGCACTATGACAGTTTTCTACTCTCAGTCGCCATCCTCGACAGAATGTGGCGCAGCTGGCCTGGATGGATCATGGCGCGGCTTGCCCTTGAGCCTGCTGTATTTGGTTGCCCTGCGCACCTTGCAGATCGGAATGTCAGTGATCACGCTGCTCGCGTTGTTCGTATGTCACCGAGGACGCCCGAGCCTGCTCAATCTCACCGCATTCCAAGGCACCTCTTCGAGTCTGAGGGCTTCCAGCAGCAGCTCAAGGCATGCCCGCGACAAGCTGAACTATGCGGACACGAGCCCCCCCCGATGCAGATTGAGCTGCGTAAGTGGGCGATTCGTGAAGTTGCCTCAGACTATCGTGACCGACTCTTTCAATAGGCGCCAGAGTCAAACACCATTCTATTACTGCTGGCCAGGCAGATATCAAGGGTGGTCTGGAGAAACGACACCACATTGGCCTGTAAGGTCATCAACAATCACGGGGCGGCTCGAGACTTCTTGGGGATCCAGCAACATAAGGTTATGCTTCGCCATCTTGCCCTGTTTCAACACTGGAGCGACACCGTCCAACGACGTCGCGCTGATGGACTTCGAACTCGGCTCGAGGAGCGCCTCGCTCGGCCTCGCGCCCCCCATGCCCCACGGCGCCAACTTGCTGCCGCTGAACGGCGCTCAGGGATGTGGCCCCCTCTCAATCGCAGGTTGGTTTTGCGTGCTGTCAGGCGCCCCTCCGCCCCGGCCAGAGCCTCGAGCGACCCGGCGATCATGGCGGAGCGCTTGGTCAAGCATCGGGCCCCGATCGTCTGCGCGAAGCCGATCGACGCTGACCTAGCGCAGTCTTGCATCGAGAAGCACGCCCCTGCCTTGGAATTCTCCATGGTCGCCCCGCCATCGCCTGCCCTTCTTCGTCGGGTCGCGCTTAAGATGCGCTGCTCGGGGCCTGGCCTGGATTCGATCCCATACTCTGCCTGGGCCGCGCGACCTCTATTGGAATTCAAGTGTTGGCAGATGCGATGATGTGGATCATGCAGGTCCAGTCGTTGTTCAGGAGCTCCAGCGACACGCTGCAAGTTTGGCTTCCCAAAGGCGAGGAGGTAGATGACTCCTTGGCTGCTGGCTGTGCTCGCTCCCAGCGCCGTACGTGTGCTCGGCCTTCGAAACGCGGACATCAAGCTGATCACGGCGACAATCAACATTCAGTTCAGCAAGCTTCTGACGGGCTGGGCTCCGAGCTCGCAAAGAGGATTCATCCCGAAGCGGAACTTCGGCGCCAGCATCCTGGAGCTGGACGTCGCAGCACGCACTTACTCCAACTCACCATCAGCTGGTAGAGACCTTCCATCCCTTGTCGCGCTGGACATTGGCGCGGCCTTCCCCAGCTTGGCGCAATCCTTCATGCTGATGGTGTTTCGGCAGATGTACGCCCCATCCGCTTTTATGGCCGTCCTCGAGCAGCTCTACCACCTCTTGGACGCGATCGTCATGCTCAATGGGCAGCCCACCATTGTCTGGTATCATTCAGGGGTGATCTCTAAGCGGATCAGTCTACGCGGCGGTGACGGCGTGCTTTCTTTTTGCTCTTCAACAGTGCCTGGACGGTGAACGTCTGGGGCTCGCCCGTGCCTGCGCAGATGACATTGGTTGCGTGGTCAAACAACTTCAAGCCCTGCGGATCGTAGCGAACGTTATGCGTATTGCGGAGGCCGTGGCTACCCTATCGCTCAAGCTGACCAAGTGCATGCTTTTTCCGCTCCACGCCCCATTCACCGAGCAGTTGGCCGAGAACATGCGCACCGCGATCGCCGCCATCGCCCCCCTCTTCGCGCAGATCCATGTTGTGAGTGCACTGGTCTACCTCGGGCTTGTCATGGGGCCTGCTGCGGGCGAGAGCTCTTGTTGGCTGGCTCCCTCTCTTACAGTTAAGCTCAGGTCGAAGATGGTGGCCAGTGGCCCTCTTGCGGTTTCCAGGTAGGCCTCCAACTACTCCGCATGGGTCACGCCCATCCTCTCTTATGGCGCCCAGTTCAGGATGATGCCCAGATGGCTCCTGCGGGCGGAGCTAGTGGCGCTCGCGAGACTATTCCGCGCCCCCCTCGGCGTCTTCAAAATTTCGGCCTGGCTGCAACTTCGAGGCGCTGGCGGACCCTCAGTGCCATCCTGGTTCGCTTTGAGCATTGGAGCACTTACTCGTGCCGCTTGATCTACCCTTCCTGAATACCAGCGCCTTCATCAATGGATGTATTGCCAACGTGGCCGGGTCGGTGACTGGCGAACGCTATCCCAGATATGCTCGGCGGGCTCCCGGCGGCACCGCCACTTCTGGAAATCTGAGGCCTTCATTGAGACCTTATCCCGAGTGCATGCTGGAGATCGCCCACCCACCTATCCCGACTACACCTACGAGATGCCGGCGGCGGCTCGGCCCGCAGCTCACAGGTAGCTGGAGAGACCATCGCGCACAACTGGCCTTCAGAGATACATCGCATCGGTGATCAAGCAGGTCTTGCACATATCCCCTTGTGGAACTGCTTCAGCGCTCGTCTCGTCAATCCCTTTCCAGAGATGTATCATGATGGGCACGCTATCCTTCCACAGCGTTGGGACCGCATCTTACGTTACCTGCGGGGTTGCTCTATTCCTTGGTCCTTTGCGTATCTCAAAAGGGTGGCCAATGGGTGGTCTACATCACATCGGATATTGCAGCCACATGGCCAACTTACCTGCGCATTCGGATGCCAACGCGAACCAGATGCTTTACAACACTACCTCTACTGCAGGCCCTTTCGTGAGCTGATTGAGCATGGGCTGGGCTACTCCCGACCTGCCACTCCACTTGGACGCTTGGGGCTACTTGGATCAGCTGTTGACATGCACAAGGTTATATTTGAGATTGTGGTGATGTGCTATGCGTGTGTCTGCGGGATCCACTCAACTACGGCGCGCATCTGGGCGCTTGCTGCTGCTCGCTCCTGTGTCAAGGCTGCTGTTCGCACGGCGCAGCCAGGGGCCGCCGCTGCGTCCAGGGAGCCGCTTGCGGCAATGCCACCTCAGAGACGCCGCTCTGCTATCGTCCGCAAGACCAGCAGCTCCTCCTCCTCTCCCTCTTCTTCTTCCTCTACCTCGGCCTCGGCGTCGCCATCGTCATTGCCGCCTAGTTTTGCCAGTTCCGTGCCATCATCTCTTGATTAAGAGATCATCGACGCTGCGTTCGCACTGGGCAATCACATTGCCGCCGCCGACATCGGGTCTGACTGCGAAGTGGAAGGAGACATCTCTGAGTTGCGAATGGTCTCACCACCAGTTTGCTTTGATGTGCACCCGACAAGCGTTGCGGCTCAAGCTGCGGAGCCTATCGGCATGGCGCCCACCTTCTTGCTGGCCCTGGGGTTTCTATATCCCAATGCGGCTGTGACCAGTGGTGTACAGTTCCGCCCTACATACTTTCCATCACCGAGTCCTTCATCGCAGCGGCCTTTGGCAAGCTCCTCGGCGCCACCGAGCCGCGAACGATCTCCTGGACGCCCTAGCCACAATGACGGAAGGATGGACTGCGACGAGGAGGGGAACGCGAACACGACTCAGATAGACTACGAGCTGCCCGCGCCATTCGAGGCCATTGTGCCGTTGAAAGCATCTCCAGGCCTTCCGCAGGTGACGCGGCGCGCTGCACTTGCTGCCAGGATTGTGGCATGGGCGCGCTCCTGGCTCACATCGCTCTTCACAAACATGGTGGGCAGTGGCTTCGGGCAGTGGATGCAGTGGGGCATCCCATCTATATCGGACGTCTTGCGGTACTCTGAACTCCAGCACCTCCGCGGCAGTGCGGAGGCCAGGAGGGAATGGCGGTCGACTTGTGTCTCCGCGGCTGGTGCGACAGCGCCGTCCCTAGGGAACAACTGCGGCTGCGTTTTAGTGAGCAGTGGGTCGCTCGGGATGATCTGCGCCTTCTCCAACTTCGGCGTCTTGCTCTTGCTCATCTCCGACAACGTGGGTGGCGTGCAGACCCGTCGAGGATGCCGCAGTTAGAGAAGGACGACTACATGCGGCAGCTCGCCTTGGCGCCATTGGTGGCGCCGCCGTCGACCGCGCATCGGCACTTTCTTCTGCCACGCCTGCTGGCTAATCTGTCGCACGATCAACTGGCTATGGTTGAGCCCTTCCCTGGCGAAGATGATGGCAGTGTCGACTTGAATGGTGTTCCCAACCCCACTGACGTTGTCTTAACGATGATGGCGGTAGGCGAACCGTGCGTCGTGTCTTCTAGTGCTGACCCCTTCGAGCCCATTTCTGACGAGGAGATGGGCAGCGGCGAGTGCTCTTACCATGTCGGACCTATCCTCACCGACGAGGAGTTCGAGGCACAGGTGCAGCGGGCGATTCGTCGCCCACGCGAGCTTCCTCAGGATGCAGAGTTCGACCCGACTGCCAGCTCATCATGCGTGCCACAGGTGCCCTCTGCACCTACTCCTGCGAACGTGCAGCCTGAGGAAAACTCAAGTGAGGACAGTGATGAGTTCGACCTGCTGATGGCCGGGCACGTATTTAGTGTCATCTACCCCGACGGCTCCGTCGGTGGTGCAGCGGCAATCACTCCTCGCCAAAAGCCCGCTCCCGACCTTCCTGGCCGCGCAGCACCCGAAGGACCGCTTGATGGTGAGGTCCCACCTGCTCTACCTGTTCCACCGGTGGATGCTGCACCACGGGTGCGTGGTGTTCCGCCTGAAGATCGGCCCCCACCAGCTCATCATGAATCGGGTTCTGAACCACCACTTCATGCTCCTCTCGCTGGGCACGCTCGGGATTTGCTGTTTACCGCTGCTGCTAACACTGGGCATGCGGTGTTGGGTCCCGCTGCTGCTGGCACTGGGCATGCGGGTGATGAAACAATGCCTCAATGGGCCTCGTGCTTCGGCCTTTCTGACCAGATCTTGAACTCTTTCAAGTTCATTGGCAACGACGCCCACGAGGCCATCTGCTCGCTGGGCTTCCATGCTGCTGGGCCTCACGGATCTGCTGCGCTCACATCTGCGCAAAGGGAAGCCGTCGTCGACCACCTCGACGCGAACCGTCCGCTCTCCAACTACCACCGCGAGCTTGTAGCTTGGCTGCTCACGCATCCTGAAGCACTTCTTCATGCTGTCGGTGCTCGTGTAGATGAGGATGGGATGGCCAACGCTCGTGAAGGACATGGTGGACATGTGGGTACTGCTGTGGACGCACCGTCGCATCGCGAACCTGCTCCTTGTGCTCAACCGAACACGTCTCATGTACTACAGACGGCGAATGAGCATGCGGCCATTGACGTGATGTCAGGATTGATGCCGCACGCCTCTCTCGCCCTACAACTTGCACTTGAGGCCCCAGCTCAAGGCGTTCACCCGCGCCCTATCTCGTCGGCATCATCAGCGTCAACCCCTGTGGCGGCGAGTGCCTTGGCATCGGCAGTCGCAGAGGATTCTGATCATCATGAAGAGATCTCCGAACAACAGATCGAATATGCCATGCGCACCCTGGACATATGGTACCCTGTGATCTCTGCGGACAAGAAGGAGATTATTCGGTGGATGCTACGCCACCCTGCGTGCCTCCTTGGTGCAGATGATGAGCTGCCATCTGACGCGGAACGAGAACTTCTCCCTGACCCTGGTGTTCAGGATCTTCTGGATGATGGGCCCGTCTTCCTCGAGCTCCTCGCGGACGAGGACGCGATGCTGCGCGACGCAGAGGACGAGGGCGACCCTGCATTCGGCAGCCAGGTACTCGCTGACGCCTCGCTCCAGTCGGGTGTTCTGCCTCGTCCTGCCGAAGGTCTTGCTGGTACCTCCGTGGCTGGCGAGGGCGCCTTCCCGGACCGCGCGCCCTTCGACCCCGTGGCGCAGGTGGCGTTCGGCGGTGCCGACGACGTTTTTCTTTTTGCAGCCTTCCCCGGCTGCGACCCCGTTGACAGCGTCGTCGGCGAAGGAGACGTGCTCATGATGAGCTACGACGGTGTCGTCATCACGGACCTTGAGTCCGTCGGGGACGCCCTTCCTGTCCTCACCCCGAGCTACTCCGAGCAGCTCGGCAACGCTGCCGACAGCTCGGTCGGCTTCCTCGCCGACTCCAGCGGCTCCCTAGACTACTTCAACATGAGCCTGAGAGGCTCGGCGCAGGCGCGCCCGCGGCGTCCATAGGCGGGGATAGACCATCGCCAGGGGCGCTCGCTCCTCCTCCTCCTCGATCTCCTTTTTCTCCTCCTCCTCCTCCTCCTCCTCCTCCCTCCTCCTCCTCCTCCTCCTCCTCCTCCTCCTCCTCCTCCTCCTCCTCCCCCTCCTCCTCTTCCTCCACCTCCTCCTCCTGGATCCCCGGGAAGGTGGCGGCCTCGCTGCCAGTGGTTCGGGAGCGGCCAAGAGGGGGGTGAAGACTAGGGTGTGTGTGTGTGTGTGTGTGTGGATATCATGGCGAGGCCCATGATATTTCCACACGCGTTCCATGGCGCCTCTTCTTATTTCAATGCGTCCCCGGCCCCCCCCTTGGCCGCGCACGTGCCGCTGGCCATGATTTGCGCCCCCCCCGCCCTCTTGGACGCCCCCTCTTGGGCGCCTCCGACCAGAGGGGGTTCCAGGGGGGTCCCGTTTCCCCGAGAAGGTGGCGGCCCCGTTGCCAGTGGTGGTTTCCCTTGGCATTGCCCGTCGCTCTTCCCTGGAGCGAGAATCGGTGCTTGAGTATCTGATGGGAGAATATTGCGGCGCCGTGGGTACATCCTGGGTTTGCTCTGGCCCTCCTCGCTCTCTCCCTCCTCCCCCTCGCGAGAATCAAATCGGCTTCCTTCTGGACGAGATCATGGGTGACTTCGAGGCGGGACAGCCTTCTGTTCCTGCCGCAGAGGCACAGACCTGGGATGACGGAAGGAGCGGGGAGGAACCCTACAATTTGATCGGACAAACGGGAGGCGTCGATTTGGTCCATTGGGCGATGACAAGGCGGCGGATGACCAGGATGACAGCATGCATGACGGGAAAGGCACCGAGGGGAGCAGGAGGTGTACGAGTAGGCCTGCCGCAGAGGAATAGACCTGGGAGGAGGGGGGGAGTGGAGAGGGACACCAAGTTCCACCGTCGTGTTTTTCGCAACGTGGACCCTCAGAGCCCTGGACTTTTTCCCTGGGGGCCAGCGTTTCACCCCGAAGCGTTTTCTTTACCTCCTAGGGCCCAGAGACGGCCCCTGGATCCCGAAAGCCGTGAACAAAAACCGTCCGGTGCGACTGTGTTCCGACCCGGGGAGGCGGGGGGGGGCCCAGACATCTGGCGGATGAGTCTTCGGTGTGATCGTTTCCTTGTCCATTGTTTTGCCGATCGGCGCGGGCCCTCGTACCCCCCCATGGAGTAAATCTTGGCTGTGTTTGGCGTCTGGCTCAAGCACGTGGAGTCTCCACCACGGGACTCATTGTTGCAAACAGTCGCACTAAGCAGAGGTCCGGAGCCAGGCCCCCCCTCCCCCGCACTTCCGCCCGGTGTCGAAACGCCGAATAAGAGAACGTTCACGATCGGCCACGCGGCGAGGTGGGTATGGGGGAGGGGGGACGATTTCTTAGAAGCACCCCCGCTTCTTAGAAGACGCGGGCCTTGCCTACAGAGGATGTAGGGCCGGCGCCTTCAAGACGCAGCTTCTCATTCACGCATCGGCCTCTGAGGGCCACATCCGGGCTCGAGGACCATTGGCAAGCGGTGTTTGGGGCCGGAAGCTGGCCCCTGGGCTGCCCCTGATCCGCGGAGTGTTTGGATGTTCTTGGGAGGCTCCTGCAGAGGAAGCACATAACAATCGACATATCTTTCGGAGGGCCGCGTGGATTTGTTGGGTCGGCACCAGTAGAGGAAGAACAACGCCTATTATTCTTAACAGCTTTCGGAGGGCCACGTGGATTCTCTTGTGTCGGTGCCAAGCTCCCCCCCTGGCAGCGCCTCGGGCACACCCCGTGGCGCGCTTCACGTGCCAGGGGAGGGGTGGGGGTCCAGCGCCGTTTCAGTAAATCCGCGCAGACGGAGCCCTGTGCCGCGGAGGGGGAGAAACTATGACGACGACTGTGACGACGATGGCGACAGCGGCGGCGGCGGCGAGACGTGCACGGACGACGACGCCAAGGATGGCAGGCGATGAGCACGACAGGCGACGACGGACGCCAGCACCGAAGCAGGCCTGCCTTCTGCCCTGCGCCGTCGGCGCTGGCCCAGACCTTCGACGCCGTGCGAGCTTTTTGTTTGCGACGTGGGCTTATCGTGTTCGAAACGCAACACGTGCCGTGTTCAAAACGTCCGTTGCAATACGTTGCGTATTGGCTCAACGTGTTGGTCCACGTTTCGGCGAGTGTTTCGCGCCACGCCTACGTTTTCAGTCTGCGTGTCGAGCTCCGTGTCAACACGCTACGTGTTGCGTGCTGCGTATCGAGGCAGCTAGGAGCTGAACTATACCGCCAGGATCTTGGAGTCTAAATCTCAGTCGCGGGCTTAGGCAGTCGAGGTAGGTATTCAGGCTCGGATTCTTCCCAGCATTCCTGTGGTGTCGGGCCCTCGTTTTGAAGAGACAGCGCCCCCGCGTTCCTCCTCCTCTTTCCTCCTCTTCTCCTCCTCTCCTCCTCCTTCCTCCTTCCATCCGTGCCTCAGCCCTCCGCGTGTCTCAGTTTCGGTGCACCCCTCACACGTTACGTGACCCCGATAGGAGCTCAACCGAGGGTCCCCGTGGCGCAGCCCGCATGCGCCCCCGCCACCCATTTCGGCACCCCTCACACGCTTCGTGGCCCCATAGGGAGCTCCACCGAGGCTCCCAGTGGCGCAGTCAACAAGCGTCCCCGACGCCCATTTCGGCACACACCTCACACGTTTCGTGGCCCCATGGGAACTCCACCGAAGGTCCCAGTTGCGCAGCCCGCATGCGCTCCCGCACCCAATTTCGGCACAGTCCTCACACGTTCTGTGCCCCCAGATGATCTCAGCCGAAGGTCCCAGGCTCGCATGCGTCCCCGCCACCCATTTCGATACACCGCTCACGCGGTCCGTGGCCCCGTAGGAGCTCCACCGATGGCCCCAGTGGCGCAGCCCGCATGCGTCCCCGCCGCCCATTTCGGTACACCTCTAACACGTTTTGTGGCTCCCATAGGAGCTCCACCGAGGCTCCCAGTGGCGCAGCCCGCATGCGCCCCCGCAGCCCATTTTGGCACGCCCCTCACATTCTTGGTGGCCCCATGGGAAGCTCGACCGAAGGACCCGGTGGCACACGCAGCCCGCATGCGCCCGCGCCGCCGCCACTTCGGCACGCCCCTCACACGTTTCGTGGCCCCATAGGGACCCCACCGATGGTCCCAGTGGCGATGCCCACACGCGCCCCCGCCACCCGTTCCGGCGCACCCCTCACACGCTTCGTGGCCTCATAGGGAGCTCCACCGAAGACGATATTCTCAACTGCGTGATTCACAGCTGCAGTTGGTTGGGTCCTTCGACAGGCCGCTTTTTCCCAACCCTCCTGTGTTGGGTTCTCGTTCGGTATAGAGCATTTTGGTCGAGTCTCCCTCTCCTTCTCCTCCCTCCTGCCTCCTTCCTCCTACTCCTTCCTCTCCCCTCTCTTGCCTCCTGCCTCCTACTTCCTGCCTCCTGTTTCCTCTTCCTTCTCTTTCTCCTCCCTTCTCTCCTTCGTCCTGCTTGCGTTGTAGCGCTGTTGTGACTCTGCCTCTCTCGTGTGCTGCTGGGAGTGGCTGCGAAGTGCGCCACTGTCGCCACTTCCGTGGGCTCCTGGGAGGCCCAGCGGAGTGGAGTTGCAACCAGATTCAGCCGAGACCTCGCGGCTCCTTGGGTGGCTGCGAAGTGCGCCACTGTCGCCCTTTTCGTGGGCTCCTGGGATGCCCAGCGGAGTGCAGTTGTAGACAGACTCAGCCGAGACCTCGCGGCACCCTGGGGGGCTGCGAAGTGCGCAAAGGTCGCCAATTTTGTGGGTTCCTGGGAGGACCAGCGGAGTGGAGTTTTTAAACAGACCCAGCCGAGACCTCGGGGCTCCTTGGGTGGCTGCGAACTGCGCCACCGTCGCCCTTTTCGTGGGCTCCTGGGATGCCCAGCGGAGTGCAGTTGTAAGCAGACCCAGCGGAGACCTCGCAGCACCCTGGGTGGCTGCGAAGTGCGCCACCGTCGCCCTTTTCGTGGGCTCCTGGGAGGCCGAGCGGAGTGCAATTGTAGACAGACTCAGCCGAGACCTCGCGGCACCCTGGGTGGCTGCGAAGTGCGCCACTGTCGCCTTTTTCGTGGGCTCCTGGAAGGCCCAGCGGAGTGCAGTTGTAAACAGACCCAGCCGAGACCTCGCGGCACCCTGGATTGCTGCGAACTGCGCCACTGTCGTCATTTTCGTTGGTTCCAGAGGGGCCCTGCGGTGTGGGGTTGTAAACAGACCGAGCCGAGACTTCGCGGCACCTTTGGGGGCTGCGAACTGCGCCACTGTCGCCAATTTCGTGGGTTCTGGAGGGGTCCAGTGGAGCGGAGTGGTAAAAACTATCAGCCGAGACCTCGCGGCTCCCTCCCTGTGGGGCATGGGGTTCGAACTGCGCCAGTGTCGTCAGTTTCGTGGGCTCCCGGGAGGTCCAGCGGAGTGGAGTTGCAAACAGATCCAATCGAGACCTCGCGGCTCCCCTGGGTGGCTGCGAAGTGCGCCACTGTCGCCAATTTCGTGGGCTCCACTTAGAGGCCGTCTATCTTGCTTATTTCTGCATGTTACATGTGTACATACATCTGCAAGTCTATATACATATGTATGCATGCATGTATGAATGTATGTTTGTATGTACTTTTGTTTGTACGTACGTAGGTCTACGCGTGTATGTACGCACACACACACACACATATATATATATATATATATATATGTCGGGTTACGAGGCCGGGGGCCTCTGGCCAGCTGCCTCGACTCGCCAGGGGGGGCCCCCCCCCAGGCCTCTCCAGAGCCGCTCTGGAAATCTCCCGAGCGGCTCTGGACGGACCCTGGTGATGTGTCAGCACCAGGGGTGGTTCCCATCTTCGACCCATGTCGCCGAAGCGCGTGGTAGAGGTTTCGGAAGCCTCCAACATGGCTCCAGACGCTTCCAGGATCACTCCCAAGAGAGCCTGGGAGGCCCAAATTGATGTTTTTCCGATGGTTTTGGAAGGATTTTGGCCTTCTGTTTTTTCAGTTCTACGACGCTCCAAGACGGCCCAGGAGGTCTCCAGGTCCGCCCCCAAGCAACCCCAGAGGCCCCCAAGACAAGCCCAAGGCGGCCCTGGAGGGCCCAAGGCTGGCCCAAGAAGCGCCCACGACAGCCGACGAAGGCTCCAAAACAAGCCCAAGAAGGGCCCAAGAGGGGGACCGCGTACCGAACACCCAGGGCTCCCGCCTCAACAGTGACCCCGGAGGCCCCAGGCAGCCCCCAAGAGTCCTCCAACATGGCTCCAAACGCTTCCAAGAGCACTCCCACGAGGGCCCCAGCAGGCCAGAAATTGATGGTTTTACAATAGTTTTGGAAGGGTTTTGGCCTTCTGATCTTTGCGGCTGTCCGACGCTCCTAGGCGGCCCAGGAGGCCTCCGAGACCGCCCGCAAACAGCTCCAGAAGCGCCCATGGCCGCCCCGAGGCGGTCCCGGACAGCCCAAGGCTGGCCCAAGAAGCGCCCAGGGCAGCCCACGAGTGCGCCAAAACAGGCCCGAGAGGTGTCCAAGAGACGGACCGCGTCGGGAAAAACCCAGGGCTTCCGCCTCAAGAGAGCCCCAGGAGGCCCCAGGTAGCTCCCAAGAGTCTTCAAACACGGCTCAAGACGCCTCCAGGAGTACCCCCAAGAGGGTCCCAACAGGCCAAAATCGTTCATTTTACGTAGGAGTTGGAGGATCTTGGCCTTCTTGTCTTTTCGGCTTTCCGACGCTCCAATAGGGCCCAGCGCGCCTCCGCTCCCAAACAGCCCTAGACGGGTCCAGAGAGCCCCAGGGAGCCCGCAAGACCGGCCCTACGCAACCCAAGAGTTCCTCGGCAGGATAGTCCGGGATGGGGGGAAGAGCGGGGGAGCCTCTGGCGCCCCATGCTCAGGGAACCCTCCTCCGGAACATGGCGTGCGAACATGAGCGGCATGGTCGCCGTCGTCGTCGTCGTCGTAGTCGTCGTCGTCGTCGAAGTCGTCGTGGTCGCCGTCTTCGGCGCAGCCATTTAGGCTCCCAGGCGACTGCGCTGGGGCCACCCGCGCCAGGCGGGCTCCAGGGAGGAACCACGAACGGAAATCTGAGCCTTCCGCTTCAAGGGGGCGCCAGGAAATCCCGACAGGCCACCCCCAGAGGCACCAAGTGACCCCCAGGATGCGCCAAGAAACCCTCAAGAGGCCCCCAACAGGCTTCGAATGAGCCCCAAACAGCTCCCAGGATGCTTCAAAACTGTCTCCAAGAGATCCACCAGGACGTCAAAGCCAAGTACGAAAACGGCGTCGACGCCGACGAGGAAAACGAAAGGACGACGAGGACGCCGGCGACGACGAGAAAGCCGACGACGACGACGAAGACGACAACGACGACGACGAGGTCGACGACGATAAACGACGACGGCGGCGCCGACGACTTCAGCACTCTCTGCAAGGTCCCAAACGGCGCGCACCAAAGCGCCGCGCGGAGCGCCCAGAGGAGGAGCAGAAAAGGAAGAGGGAGGAATAATAACGGAGAAAGCAGCACAGCAGGACGATGAGGATCGGGGATCTCCGTTCCCATGTTCCAGAAGTGAGCTTCCGGTACACGTGGCTTGCAGTGCACGCCGCCGTCTTCGCGGTAAGGATCGTCGCGGGCATCGCACCTGAGCGGTGACCTCAGCTAGAACCAGAGCGCGCGAGAAGCGCGCGATGGTTCTAATATATGTATGTATGTATGTATGCATGCATATATGTATACTGTATGTTTATACACTTGTACACTTATATATGCATATATACATATATATGTTCATGTAGACGTGTGTGTGTGTGTGTGTGTGTAAATGTCTATGTGTATGTGTATGCGCAGGAATGTGTGCATGCATATGTATATGTTTATGTCTATGTGCATGTACATATCTTTTTTTGTGTGTGTATATGTACATGTCTGTGCGTCTGTATGTGTTTACGTCTGTGTGGATAGGTGTATGCGTATGTGCATGTCTGTGTTCTGTTTATGTACAGGTTTCTGTACATAGACATGCAAACGTATTTGCAACTGTTTATCGTTGTCATATGTATATGTTTGTATGCGTGCGTACGTCTGCGCAAGAGTATTTGCATACTCGTGTGTGCGTGCGCTCGTATATGCATATGTATACGTGTATGTATGTAGTTGTGTATGTGTATGTGCACATGTATCTGTGTATGTCAACAAAGGTGTCGGTGTACATATACATGCATATGTTTATGCGTGCGTGTATTTGTATGCGTATACGTATATGTATACATGCACATCGGTTCACATTCATGTATGTCGGTGTGTCTATATCTATGTGCACGTATGTTTATGTGTATGTCTATGCCTGTGTATATGTATATGTACATTTTTATGTATAGGTAAATGTACGTGCGCGTGTATTCGTATATGTTCATGCGTGTGTGTGCACAAGTCGTCGGCTTTGTATACTGTTACGTATATGCGTACACACATACATGCTTATGTGTTAGGTCTATGGGTATGCATATGTATGCGTATGTATGTATATATATATATGTATATATATATACATACACACGCACCTACATGCACACATATACGTGTGTGTTTACATATATATGTATATGTGTATGCATATACCTATGTAGTTATGGATATATATATATGATATATTATATATGATATATATATATATATATATATATATATATTCATATATATATATATATATATATATTATATGTAATCGTCGTGTGCTTAGAAAAAAAGGACTGTGCGCGCCACAGGGTGAGTGGTTTGAATAATTTCTTCGGACAAATCTAGTGGCCCTCGGACCATTCCGCCACCCTGCCTGGGTCGTGGGTGTGAAGCCTAATGGACGTTTGTTGGGATCTCGTGGGAGGCCTCTCGGGGGCCTGTTCGGGGCAATTTGGACGCCTCTTGAGGGCAGTTCGGGGGCCTTCGGGGGCGGGCTTCTTGGGGTCCTCGTGGGGCCTCCTGGGACTTCCTGGGTGCCTCTTGCGGGGGAAGGCTCGGATTTTCGGTTCGTGTTCCCTCTCTTCGGTTCCTTTTTGGGCCGTCTTGGGGCCCTCTTGGAGGCCTCGTGGGCCGTCATGGGGCGGTCTTGGGGGCCTGGGCTGCCTGGAAGGGTCGGGGCGCCGCAAAGGCGAGAACTCCGACATCCATGCAACACCTCGGGGAAATCAGTGAATTTGGCCTCTCGAGAGGCCTCTTGGAGGCTTCTTTTGGGCGTCTTGGAGGCCTCTTGGGCCGTCTGGGGGCAATCTTGAGCGTTTGGGAGCGATCGTTCGGCGACTCTGGGCTCTCTTGGGCCGTCTCGGGGGCTTCTTGGGGCCCTCTTCGCTTGTTTTGGGGCCTGATTGGACGCGAAAAATGGATGCGGGAACGTTTCCCGAAGCCCAGGGGGCGCGCGGGAAGCCCTGGTAAATTTGAGGATTTGGTGTCCGGCCCCTTTCAAGACTCTGCGCAGGAGTGACGACTGAGGCCCACGGGATTATGCGCAAGACCTGAGGACGCCCACTCCGTGCCCAGAGGCGCGGTTCTCGACCCCGTCCCCGAAGCCGGCTCCTCACTGCGGGCTGGTGTTCGCGGCCCCGGGGCCCGAACAGACGCCCCTCCCGAGCCGGGCGGCCGGCCGCGCGTGGGAGCGACCCCTCGCCGGAGTGACCTCTGGTATGCGGCCTTCGAGGGGCGCGCGCGGGGGGTGGGGCCGCAGACCCCCGCGCGCAGGCCGCCGCTGCCGCACCGCACGCAGCGATCCGCAGGCCGCGCCCCCAGTGCGGCCCTCCGAGCCCCGCGGCCAGAACGGGGCTGTCCCAGCCGGGGCGGTGCTCCTGCGGCCAGCGGGGCAGAGCTGTTCGTTTTTCGGCCCGTGCGCCGCCACGCGACGGGTGCAGTCGATCCCCCCAAGGTAGCCTGAGGATTCGCTCGAATCGCCCCACGCACCGCGCACCATGGGTCACTTTTGCCCAGGATCACCCTGCCGCGTGTAGCCGGCGGATGCCGCAAGCTGTAGGACAGGAGTCCCGCGCCGTGGCTCTTCTCCTCAGGACCTCAGACCTTCGGGGGCCTACTCTTGCAGGGAATCACGGCGTCGGGGACGGGTCTGCAGGTGCCGCCGCAGTTCGCCGCCGCCGCTGATGCCGCTGCCGCTGCTGAGCAGGCGTTTTTGCTCGAGGGGTGCCTGGCGAGGGCCGCGCGGCGCGCGCGACAGTCCAGGGCACTTCGGCGCGCGGGAGGCCATGGGCAAAGGTGCCCCTCGGGCTCCTTCCTGCCTCCGCTCCTCCTTCCCCATCCACCAGTTCCCCAAACAGTGCCCGCTCTGGAGGTGCTTACTTCTGTGTCTGAGCCATCGGCCTGTGGTCCCGCGCTTTCGCCTGGCGGGCTGTCGGCCGGTGGGCGCGCGTGCCCGTCCCGTGCGCTGACTGGCGGTTCCGGGCTCGGCGGCTGGGGGCGCCCGTGCCCGCTTGGTGCCCGCCCCGTGTGCTGGCTGTCGGTTCTCCTGGTTTCTGCGCGGTGCCCGCGCGTGGCCGCCTCGTGCACGCCCAGTGCCCGAGTTGCACCACGCAGCAGGCACCGCGCCACCTAGATTGTACCACATGGGTTGCAACACGCACCCTGCACCCCGCATGTTGCACGGCGCAGACTGCATTAAACAGCTTGGGCCGAATAGTAGATGGCACAGCTAGCGGCCTTCGGCCCAACCTGCCACTGTGCCTGGATCGTGGACCTCAGGGCTCTTAGATGCCTCACGGAGTTTCTTGGGGCCTCTTGTGGGCCTCCAGGCAGTCTCGGAGGCAATATTGGGGTCCAGGGCTCCTAGTGCCAATTCATGTTTTCCATGTGTCGCTCTTGTGTCCCTCGTGGGGGCTTGGAGGCCGTCTTTTGGCAATCTTGGGGGCCTTCTGGGCTGGTTCGGGTGCTCTTAAGACTGGAAAGGCGAGGAGGCTTCTTGAGGCTTCTGCAAAAGCCACGCGGCAACTCCCAAGAGCGCTCAGCAGCGCCGGGAAGCGTCCGTTGCTTTGGGCCCTGGGTCCCTTGAAGAGCACTGGCAAAATCAGTGCGTAGAGCCCGAAGGGACCTGAGGACACTCCGCTCAGAGGTGGGGTGCGGGCTGTTGTTCGGCGAGTGCGCTGCGCGGCTGCTGCACGCCGCCGCGTGGTTTCCCTGATTGCACGCCGAGACGGCACGGGGAAGTGCTTCAGCGTTCAACGTCGCTGGGTCGTACGTGAGGTGGTGCCGATTGGTTTCTGGTGCACAGTGCCTACGGTACGCTGGCGGAGATTGTGCCATCTGGCCTGCGCTACATACAGTACACAGCATCGAATGCGCCTTTGCGCCCCGTGTATCCCGTTTCCTAAGGCCAACTCTGGACGCTTCGCGTAACCCCACCAGCCCATCCAGAAACGATGCCCAGGCGAGTTGCCCTGATCAGGGATGTGGAGGAGCATGCAGTTGAACATCGGGCTGGGATACCCCAAGAGGGGGACGATGGAGGAGAAATCCTCGTCGTCGTCGTTGTTGTCGTCGTCGTCGGTGGTGGTCGTCGTCGTCGTCGAAGGAGGAGGAAAAAGGAGGAGGAGGAGGAGGGGGAAGGGGAGATGGAAAAGGGAGGAGGGCGGAGGAGGAACAGGAGGAGGAGGAGGAGGAAGAGGAGGAGGAGGAGGAGAAAGAGGAGGAGGAGCAGAATGGCCAGAGGCCCTCTGGATACGTCTCGGAGCCTCTTCGGATGTCTCTTGAGAGCTTCTTGAGGTCCTCGTGAGGCGTCTTAGGGGGACTCTTGGCGGTCCAGGGGTCTTCTTGGAGCGTCTTGGGTGCCTCGGGGGGGCCTCTTGGGGTATCTTGGGCGTCGCTCGGCAGCCTCTCGGGGGCCTCTTGGGGGCCTCTTGGGGCCTCCTGGCAAATCGCCTGGCCAAAATGGGTCCAACACCAAAGTCAAATGTTAGCAGCCATCGTGGACCCCAAGCACTGTGTTTCTAGCAAAATGTGCGTTGCAATCTGTGCGGTGCAATATAGGTGGTGCAATCTAGGTGGTGCAAATAATTTTGGTTTGCAGTGAATTGTCAACTCCCATGCTCTTGCAAGCATCCTACCCACCCACCCGCAACTTGGTGTGCAAAACTCATGCGTTGGCGATTACGATGCATGCTTGGCGTTGGCTGGTGCATCTCTGCGGCCGTGCCAACCCCAGCACGCGCGCGCAGCGGCCAACTAGTTTGGCGCCGCCTACGCGGCCGCGGTGGCGCTGACCGCTGGGCGCATCCCAGCGGGCACTTCAGTGCGAATCGGTGACTTGGGCGGGCGCGGTCTCATGGCAGCGTCGACAACGGAAGACACGATGATGATAATGGCGGTGCTGGTGACGATGTTCGTGCCGACGAAGGCGCGGCCAGTGCGGGCGCCGATGCTGACCACGCCGACGACGATGACGGCGCCCTCGCGTCGGTGATGGAGGTTTTGGAAAGAGTTCGACATGCACGCGCGGCCGACGCGCGAGAGTGGCCCGTATGCTGTTATTTGACACGGATCGTGCCCCCCACCAGCACGCGTGCAAGGGCGTGCGAATGCTGTCGGCATGCGGCGCCAGAGCATTTTTTTGGCAGAACTCCATGGACATGGTGAAAAATAGGGCTTCCCCACCGGATTCGCAAGAGCGCGCGCGCAAGTTTTTTTGAACGCTGATGTTGCGAAGCCATATGTTTTTGATTGTTTTCTGGTATTCGGTTTCGAGATCGATACGAATACGAAGGTGTTAGAAGGATTTCGGCATGCGCGCGACGACGCACGCGTGTGCACTACGTCCCGTTTTTTGCAAAAGGACTCTCGCGACGGCACGCGCGCAAAGGCGTTCGAACGATTTCGGCATGCGCGCGCGAAGCCCGTTTGGTAGTATCTTTTGAAACTGTTGAGCAACCGAGTGGTTTTCTTAAGAATTCGCAAGAGCGCGCGCGCAAGTTTTTTTGGGAAATCCGTGTTGCGAAACCTTGTGTGTTTGTAGTTTTTTTTGGACACTCGATTGTGACATCCTTGTGCGACCTATTGTTTTTTGAATGATTTCGGGAAGCGCGCGCCGCGACGCGCGCGTGTGCACGTCGCTTCATTTTTTTGCAAAGAAATTCTTGACAACTGATGCTTTTTGATAAGCGAATGCGCGCGCGTATTTTTTGGCAAAGGATGGCGGGGGGGCAATACCGGCTGGGCTGGGATAGTATGGATTCATAGTTCGGATGGACGATGGGGCCGAATCATATGTAAATTGCAGTACGAAAAGAGGGGAGTCGATAATCCCGGGGGGGATATGGGGGATAGTCTAGATGGGTGCAACTGATTTTTGCACATGATTTGACACATCCCATACTCTTGCAAACATCCCACCCACCCACCCGCAACTTGGTTTGCCAAACCTCTTAAGACCGTGACGGTAGGTACCAAATGGCACTTACCAACGACACCGACGCCGACGACGACAGCGACGTCGACGACGACGACGACGCCGACGACGACGACGACGACTACGACGACACCGACGACGTTTCCAACGACATCGGCGACGACGACGACAACAACGACGACGACGACACCGACGACGACGACGACGACGCCGACGCCGACGACGACGAGGATGACGCCGACGACGACGACGGCGACGCCGACGACGACGACGTCGACGACGCCGACGACGACGACGACGGCGGCGACGACGGCGACGCCGACGTCGACGACGACGGCGGCGACGACGGCGACGACGACGCCGACGCCGACGCCGACGACGACGACGATGGCGACGCCGACGACGACGCCGACGTCGCCAACGAATACGACGATGACGAGGGAGGACGGAGGACGACGACGGCGACAACGACGACAACGACGAGGGATAATGGAGGACGGCGACGACGCGAACGACGAATTAGGGAGGACGGCGACGCCGACGACGATAACGACGAGGGAGGAGGGAAGACGACGTCGGCGACGACGACGACGACGGCGACGAAATAAGGAGGACGACGACGAGATGCCGACGACGGACGACGACGACGACGACGACGAGGGAGGAGGAGGAAGGACGACCACGGCGACAATGACGACGGAAACGACCACGACGCCAAAGAGGACGACGACGACGACGAGGAAAGACAGAGGACCACGACGGCGACGACGACGACAAGGGAGGAGGCAGGACGGCGACGACGACGACGACGCAAGAGCGCGCGCGCATTTTTTTGTTGAAAATCCGTGTTGCGAAACCTTTTGTTTTTGTGGGTTTCTTGGACACACGATTTTGAATTCCTTCCGAAACCGATAGGTTTTGAAGGATTTCGGCGTACGCGCGCGACGACGCGCGCGTCTGCACTTCGTCCGGTTTTTTGCAGAGGATTCTCGCGACGGCACGCGCGCAAGGGCGTTCGACAGATTTCGACATGCGCGCGCGCGAAGCCCGTTTGGCAGCATTTTGTGAAACCCTTGAACAACTTATGGTTTTCTCAAGATTTCGCAAGAGCTCGCGCGTAAGCATTTTTAGCACATCCGTGTTGCGACGCCCTGTGTTTTTGCAAGTTTTATGGGATCTCGATTGCGAAATCTGTCCGAGACCGAAGGTTTTTGGAGGATTTCGGCATGCACGCGCGACGACGCGCGCGTGTGCACTTCGTCCCATTTTCTGCAAACGGATTCGTGCAAAAGTGTTATGTGAGAACAAGCGATGTCCCCGCGTATCGTTTTTTTTTTTTTTTTTTTTTTTTTTTTTTTTTTTTTTTTTTTTTTTTTTTTTTTTTTTTTTCTCTCTCTCTCTCTCTCTCTCTCTCTCTCCCAGGGGAACCTCAGGGGGACCGATACGGGTTCCCCTGGGATAATGTAAATTCATATTTCGGATGGACATGTGGTCAGAATCATATATGATTTGCATGCCCGAAAGGGGGGCGGCGAACGCCGTAGAGTCTATTTTGTTTTTAGAAAGGAGAATTCATTGCTATTCGCAGTGAGTTGTCAACTCCACTGACTGCTCGCGCAATCATCCCACCACCCATCCACCCATCCGCAACTTGGTTTGCAAAACCCATTCGGCGGCGATTGCGATGAATGCTTGGTGTTGGCTGGTGCATCTCTGCGGCTGCGCTAGCCCGCGCATGCTCGCGCGCAAATAGTTTGGCGCGACTGACGCGGCCGCGGTGGCGCTGACCGCTGGGCACAGCCCAGCGGGCACTTCAGTGCGAGTCGGTGACTTGGGCGGGCGCGGTCTCATGGCAGCTTCGACAGCGGAAGACACGATGATGATAGTAGCGGTGCTGGTGGCGAGGGTGACAGCGGCGACGGCACGGCCAGCGACGGTGCCGATGCTGATCACGCCGACGACGATGACGGCGGCTTCGCGTCGGTGATGAAGGTTTTGGACAGAGTTCGACATGCGCGCGCGGTCGACGCGCGAGAGTGGCCCGCATGGTGTTATTTGACACGGACCGTGCCCCCCCAGCGCGCGCGCAAGGGGGTTCGAATGATTTCGGCATGCGGCGCGAGAGGCCCCTTTGGCAGAATTGCATGAACGTGCTGAACAACCAAAGGGTTCTCTTGAAGAGCTCGCAAGAGCACGGGCGCATTTTTTTGATTATCCTGGCGAAGGACCCAACCATATGCACTTGTGCTGCCGGTGGGGATCCTCATGGGGCCACGACGCGCGTGAGGGACGTGCCGTAATGGGTGGGGGAGACGCATGCGGGCGGTGCCACTGGGGCCTTGGGTGGAGCTCCTTATGGGCCACGAAGCGCTGTCTTGGGCGTGGCTGACGCATGCAGGTGGTTCCCCTCGTTGGAGCCCCCGATGAGGCCACGAAACGCTGTACTGATTGGGGGAGACGCATGCGGGCGGTGCCGCGGGGGTCTTTCTGTGGAGTTCCCTATGGGGCCACGAAGCGCTGCACTGGGTGGTGGGCGACGCATGCGGGCGGTGCCACTGGGACTTTCGGTTGAGCTCCTTGTGGGGCCACCGGAGGGGAGACGCATCCGGGCGGTGCCACTGGGGCCTTCGGTGGAGCTCCCTATGGGCGCACGAAACGCTGCACTGGGTGGGGGGTCGCATGCGGGCGGGCCACTGGAGCTCCCCACGGGGCCACGTAACGCTGTACTGGGTGGGGGGGACGCATGCGGCGGTGCCAGTGGGGCTTGGTGGAGCTCCCAATCAATACGGCCGCAAAAGGCAGTATCGGGTGGTGGACACATGCGGGCGGTGCCATTGTTTTGTTGGTGGAGTTCTCTATGGGGCCAAGAAGCGTTGTCTTGGGTGTGGCTGGCGCATGTGGACACCCCCACTTGGGCCTTACGTGGAGAACCCTATGGGGCCACGAAGCGCTGCACTGGGTGTGGCGGGCGCATGTGCCCCCCCCCCCCCCCACCACTGGGGCCGACGTATGTGGCCACCCCCGCAGGTGGAGCTCCCTATGGGGCCACAACACGCAGGTGGAGCTCCCTATGGGGCCACGAAGCGCTGTACTGGGTGTGGCGGGCGCATGTGCCCCCCCCTCACTGGCGCCGCACGCGGTGGAGCATTCTATGGGGCCACGCAAACGCTGTACTGGGTGTGGCGGGCGCATGTGGCCACCCCCACTGGGGCCTTATGTGGAATTCCCTATGGGGCCACGAAGCGCTGTATTGGGTGTGGCGGACGCATGTGGCCACCCCCACTGGCGCCTTGGGTGGGCTCTCTATGGGGCCACGAAGCGCTGTATTGAGTGTGGCGGACGCATGTGCCCCCCCCACTGGGGCAGCAGGTGGAGCTCCCTATGGGGCCACGAAGCGGTGTACTGGGTGTGGCGGACGGTGTACTGGGTGTGGCGGACGCATGTGGTCACCATCATCGGAGCGTTGGGTGGAACTCCCTATGGGGCCACAACACGCTGTACTGGGTGTGGCGGAACGCTGTACTGGTTGTGGCGGACGCATGTGACCACCCCCACTGGGGCCTTAGGGGGAGCTCTCTATGGGGCCACGAAACTTTGTATTGGGTGGGTGAAACGCAAAGAGGAAGTTTGATGGGGAGGAGGCAGGAAGGAGACGCGGGGACCGTCTCTTCAAAACGAGGACCCAACACCACAGGATGGTTGGGAAAAGTTGATGTTGCGACACCATGTGTGTATGTATGGTTTCGGGACACTCGGTTCCGAAATCCCTACGACACCGAGGGTCTTTGACGGATTGTGGCACGCGCGCGCGATGTCGCGCGCGTGTGCTCTTCGTCCCGTCGTTTGCAAAGGGTTCTTGCGACAGCACGCGCGCAAGGGCGGTCGAATGATTTCGGCATAAGGCGCAAGAGGCCCGTTTGGTAGAATTCCATGAACATCCTGCGCAACCAGAGCGTTTTTCTTAAGAAGTTGCAAGAGCGCGAGCGAATGCTTTTCTGAACCCAGAGGTTGCGAAACCAGGTGTTTTTTATATATCGTTTCGGGACACTCGGTTTTGAAACCCTTATGATACCGAAGGTGTTTGACGGATTGCGGCATGCGCGCGCGACGACGCGCGCGTGTGCATGTCGCCCCGTCGTTTGCACTTCATTCTTGCGACGTTACGCGCGCAAGGGCGTTCGAATGCTTTCGACATGTGCGCGCGCGAACCCCGTAGCATTTTTGTTCAACGGTTGACAGACATTATTTTTTTCCAACACAGATTTTCTATAACAACAAATTCGCAAGCGCGCGCGCGGAAGTTGTTTTTTGATAATCCGTATTGCGAAAACGTGTGGTTTTACATTTTTTCGGATTTTCGATTTGAATCCCGATGTAAATACCAGGAATTTGAGAGATTCCGGCATGCGCGCGCGACGACGCGCGCGTGTGCACTTCGTTCCGTTTTCTTGTTGTTGTTTCCCACACTTCCCACCCTTCCCACCCTTCTTCACTCAGTTCTCGGGGGCCCCCGCCCCCTCGCGGGGGGGGGGTGACCCCCAGGTTCTCGGGCCCCCCCCCAGAGGTTCAGAGCCCGGAGCCGTTTTAGGGAAGTCCCCCCTCCCGTCGAATCCGGGAGGGACCCTACAAGCGACCACAGAAAGAGCTCTTTCTTATAACACAAGACAGCTGACTAACATTTTTCAAATGCCGCTTGTTTTTTTTTCAACAAAAAGTTGCTAGAGTTCAGCGGCGCGCGCTCGCTGGAATTATAAAACCTTTTTCTCATATAAAAACAAAAAAGAAGCAACTTGTCACACGAGAGCATGCGTTTCCACGCGCGCGCATGTCGAAACCATTCTGCAGTCATCGCGCAACCATCAACTCTGCCAACTGATAGCATGCGGCCCCACGCGCGCACCTCCGCGCGCACGCCGAGATCCTTCCAGAACCCACGGCTTTCTGAGCGTTTCAGGGCAGAGTCCTTGGGACACACACGAACGCCCAGTGGTTTCCAATCTTTCACCTGCCAGGGGATCAGAATTTCTGCGCGCAGGTAACGTGTGGATGCCCGCACTAGTTGCACCCGGTAGATTGCACGACATATATTGCATGCCATCGATTGCAGCACATAGAGTGCATAGCGAGACTGTCAGAACACTCTGTTTAGGGTCCACGTTGGCAAATACATTCCACATGGCTCGCGAGGTACGGGCAGTCTCAGAAGTTCTTCCTCTGCTTATGAGAGTCAGTCCGTGGCGGCCCCCACCAGACCAAGTTCTGCTCGGGTTTTGCATGATGGTTGTGCCCACAGGTTGCTCAGGCGGGTGTTTTTTTCTTGCTTGCGTGCTTGATTGCTTGGTTGCTCACGCGGGTTGGCTTTGTTTGCTTGCTTACTTGCTTGCTTGTTCGTTATCTCGCTCGCTCGCTTATGCCCAGGTATCACCCGCATCAAATTGTCAGCTCAGCTACCCCGATGCAATTACATGCGCATCATACATGTATATCTTTCACCACGCCGACTCGGAGGCAACGCTGTTTTTTTCATGTCAGTTGAACATTCGTGGGCGATCAGCAGACGTTGCAATATTGTTTCCGTATCCCAGCAAAGGCGGTGAGTCCACCAAGTTTGTCCGGGCGCCTTGGGTAAAGCAGGAGGCCCCGAAGAGGTCAACATACCAGTCCGCGTATGACAGCTCCTACAAGGGCAAGGGCAAGGGTAAAGACAAGGGCAAGGGCAAGGGCAAGGGGAAAGGCAAAGACAAGGGCAAGGGCAAGAGGAAGGGCCCGGCCCCCTTCGACTCCGAGTTCTGGGAGGTCAAGAAGGCGGATGAGAATAGAAGAGCGCTGGCAGGCACCTTCACTGGCACAATCAACAAGTATCGGATACGTCTCCGGACAGTCAACGCCGCCCCCTACCTTTCTCCGGAAACATTTAATAATTTCATGGCCAAGCATTAGGCCAGATTTTGGTCACGCTACTTGACCGTAAGAAGGTTCTCACGAGCTGCTGGACTGTGTGCCACCGTGGTTGTTGGACCTCGTAGGCCCTTCTGGCGGCCGCTGTGGCCCTCCGGGGCCATCTTGTGGGTCCCGGGGGCTGTCTCGGCGTCCTCGTTGGCCACCTTGGGGGCGCCAGGAGGCTTCTTGGGGGTGTGTTGGGCTATCGAAGGGGCCTCTTGGGAGCGCCGCCTTTGGGACTCCTGGGGACACATGGGTTTATCTCGGCGGTCCCTCAGTAGTGCTTGAAACGCTTCCCGGGGGCGTCTGGGGCCATCTCGGGGTCCCCTTAGGGTGCGTCTCGGGCTCACTCGGAGCCGTCGGGGAGCCCTCTGGGCCGGAAAGGCGCGACGGGCGAACACCAGAGGAACAGCAGACTGTTTTTCTGTATTTTCCGCCTCTCGGGTGCCATCTGGGCCATCGTGCAGGTGTGTTGGAGGCCTCGGGTGGGAGCAAGGGTTTTTGGAAGCCTCCACTGTACACTGCCTCTCTCCCCTCCGCCTCAGGCCCCATCGTCGACGTTGCTCGTTCGATGCTGCGCCGTAGGCGATTTGGCTCGAAGGGCCCCTGGGGGGCGAAACGCGCAGCCCAGTTTTCGTTTCGCTTGGGACTCGATCAAGAACAAGAGCCATCTTCGAGGTTCCCTCGGACTAGGAGACCACATGCGAACCCTACCCCTACCCCCCACGATTCTGAGGGGGAGGGTGGGGTTCACTTCGCTCGAGAGCTCCCGAACGAAGTGAACCCCACCCTCCCCCTCAGAAATCGGGGGGGGGGTAGGGGTAGGGTTTGCATGTGGCCCCCTATCGGACTGATCTGGAGGCCCTCTCGTGGAGTCTTCGCCCTGGTCGCCCTGCCGGCCTCGGGGCGTCGCGGAGGCACGCCTTCCTGGAGGCCGTTTTGGGAGAGCCGAGGGGCCCGTGGAGCCTCGCTGGAGCGGCGGCGGGGAGCGGAGACCTCCGCTGGAGAGGAGGGGCAAACGTCCGAGGCGGGGCTCTGCACCTGACCACCGCCCCGAGGATTCATCTCGGGGATCTCGGCAGGCGGCGGATGCGGACATCTTGGGACCCCCGGGGGCCAAAGTGTATCCATGTCCTCCTCCTCCTCCTCCTCCTCCTCCTCCTCCTCCTCCTCATCCTCCCTCTGGACAATGCGGGGAAGCGGTGAACATGGAACTGCCAGAATATTTTTTCTTATGTGAGGAACGCGCAGCCTTGAGGGAAACGTGGGTCCTGACGACCCCATTCACAGTCTGCATAGCCCGTCGTGGGGCCTGCCAGTCACTGAGCAGTGGCTGAGTACGCGCTGTGTTCTGCAGCCTGAGAGGTCTGAGGGAACGGTCTGCCAACCGCACCCGACACAGAGGCGATGACCTCTCCCTAGGGGTCCACAGAGACGAATCCCCATCTGACCCTAGACAGCTCCTTGATGACCCGCCCCAGAAAGCAGTACCAGACGCTTCCGTGCGGCCAGAATTGGACCCAGGACCTCCAGCAGAACGATGGGCGATGCGGCCAACAGGACATGGCCTCGGAAACCTGTCCCTTGGATGCTGGAACATACACCTGGAAGAAAGCAGCAGGTCCTCGTCATTGCCTTCTGCAATGACACTCCGAGCTTCAATTGGCACGTCTTGTCCACTGGCCGACTCGCGCAGCTCTCTGACGCTCGCGCACTGCCACAGCCTATGCAGTATCTTTCACCCTCACGCACTGCCACAGCCTATGCATCAAAGTGTCAGGAGCAGCTTGGCAACGCTGGCGAATCTTGCTTGGAAGCTCGTAGCCGCGCTCGATGGCGCGGTCCTTAGTCCAACTCCCATCGCAGGCGAGCCGACGAATCGGAGAATGTTCCGAGCGCCGCAACTCTGAGACCACGACGTCGTAACGCAACCGTCCCATCCCCAGCTTGTCTCTCGCCGCCCCCTGGTGCGTTCTGATCGCTCCTTCGAACAAAAGGTCAGCCACGAGCGCGGGGGAACACGAAGTGAGCTGGATGCGGTCTCCAAAGTCATAGGCCATCGTGTGCCACTCTGGCATGTGCCAGCCGATCCGTTGCAGCGAAAGCCTCATCGCCTGCGAGGGGCCTCTCACCACTTGACGCCGGATGGGGGTAGGGCTGTCGGTAAACACAGAGGGCTCTAAACGAAAGAGCGCGTTCAGACAGCCCCACTTGCGACCCCCAAGCTTCTTCGTTAACCTCCAAATCGGAGCAACAGAAGCCCACCATGCCGGGTCGTTACACAGAATGAGGAAGGAAGTGGGGGAATGCTGACCCGCAGACGGTTAGTGGGTAGAAGCAAGGGCTCTGCGGGCAGAGGCCAACTCGTAGTCTGACGTGCCGTGGGTATCAGCATCGTAGTTCAGCCCTGCAAGCGGCCCCGCGGCAACCATTCGGGACGCGTGCCTCCCGAGCATGGCTTTGCAACGCGGAAACCTTGCGAGCCGCTGTTTACACGCTCGACGACGCCTGGTAGCATACTTTTTTACCCCTCTTCCCTCACCTCCTTCCCATGCCCGCAGTCTCGTCAACCTCGAGGTTGGCAGCCGAGTCCTTCGGCGTACCCGCCAGAGGTCCCAGCAGCTTCCTGATGCGAGCGCCATGACAGGAAGAGGAGCACGCCAGGGCAGCCTTGTCAAGGGAAATGGTGCAATCCGTATCTTCGGTGATAGCATGGTGGAGTTCGGTGGCAGCTTCCACCGCAATGCTGGCAATCGAACGCGGACGAGCCTGGACCGAAAATCCGTAATCATCGATGTGCACATCTAAGCACTTTGGCACCCTAGGGGAGAGGAGGTCGAGAGAGGGGATGCTACAGGCGCGCGCGAAGCCGGTGGCTGCCGAGCAGCCAGCGACTACTCGTCGAGCGGCAAAGAGAGGGCCTTGCACCATGGAGCCCAGCGTTAAACAACGCGGTCCTCGGTGCGTGTGCATGCGGGCCGATGCGAGCTGCTCTGGGAAGCCCAGGTGCTTGCAGCGGCCTCTGATATTATCCAAGCAGATGGTCTCGAGGAACTGGGCTAAATCTGGAGGGAAAAAAGCACACAGACACAATTAATCGTCGATTCCCCAGAAAATATGGGAAAATATGGGTCGTGGGGGGGAAGACAAAAACCCAGACAATATGGGAAAATATGGGGAACATTTTTATTTCTGTGTATTTATTTGTGTGTCCCAGGGCCCCTTCACTAGTCGCGCGCTGCAAGTAGCGTGACGCGCGGACTGCACGGCGCTCTCGGGGCGAAGCGCCGGGCGCCGAGCAAAACGTCGCCAGCTCCTGCGAGCGCGGGGCCGGCGAGGTACTTGGCATCGCTCGGACGTGTGCATTTTTCCTTCGGCGAGGACCATCGAGGAGCATCCTCGAGCATCTGGCGAAAAAGCCACGCACGAAACCGAACAGACAGCACAGGGAATGGACGTCCGAGCGATGGCCGGGGCACGGGCGCTGCACGCTCGCCTCCCGGCTCTGGAGGAGAGGCCGCCGCAGCCGCCTCCAGATCCTGCAGGAGCCTGCCACTCACCACCCTCCTCCTCCTCCTCCCCTTCCTCCTCCTCCTCCTCCTCCTCCTCCTCCTCCTCCTCCTCCTCCTCCTCCTCACCACCCAACCCGAAGGCTCAGATTTACCCTCGATTTCTAGTGGGGGGGGGTCCGGGAATATCGAAAAAACACACATGAAGCCCATACCCCCCCCCCAACCCGAGATTCGGGTCTTCGGGTTGGGTTGGGGTGGTTTGGTAGGTAGTCAGCCACAGTACCGATGCGCCTCCAGCCTCCCGCGGGTTTGTCGAGCAGGGCGGCGCGGAACACGCGCGCGCATCGGTTTGGGAAGCAAGCCAGGTGCTCTCCAGAATCGACCGGGCCGACAGGATGGCGTGGAGAGAGGGGTGGCCAGGAGCACCGAGGTGTCGCATGTGGAAGCCATCCACGCCGACAGCCGATGCCCACTTGTAAGCACGCGAGGCTTGGCGGATGGTGTCGGGCTCTTTCCAGGGGAGGGGGTCCGAATGGTGGGCGCACCTCTGCTGGCCCTTGAATGGCACCTCCTTGGCCTTCCCGAGGCCAGAACAAAAACGAGCGCGCTCCGTTTGCAAGAGACCCTTGGGGCCAGCCAGAACTTTACCTCTGGAAGACACGGTGTGGGTGGGGGTCCGAGCGGTGGGGGGTCGAGTCCAGTTGCGGGCGCGCTTGCCCCCTCCCTCGATGCCGTCGCAGAGCCGCTCCTTCCAGCTCGCAGCAGCCTCCGCTCTGGCGGTGGCCGAGCAGTCGCCGAGGGCTTCGCTGGGCACCTCGAGACGCTCAACCCCTGTGGCCTGCCACAGGTGGCCCCGGCCAGTGAGGGCAGGGTCTTCAGCGATCGGGGAAGCGTAAACCTAGGCGCGCTCGGCCAGTTCCTGAAAGCTAGCGAGGTGATCGTTGAGGTTTTCTTTTTTTTTTTGGGGGGGGGGGGGCGGGGAGGGGGGGGGGAATGACTCGGATGTGCCTTGGGCCTGGCTCCAGCGGTCAGCGTCGGTGCAAGCGACGGGGAGGCGCGCGTTGCCTTCCAGCCAGCTGGGCGCGTGCAGCCGCGGCTCGCGGCAGCGGTCCTGAGATGGAGCTGACCTCCAGGCCAGCCTGGGCACCTTGCCGCGAGTGCCTTGGACAGGGAGCTGGATCTTGCAGGCGCCCTCAAGCTCTGCCTCGGACTGGTTGGCCCCAAAACTTGTCAAGCGTATTGAGGTGACGCTGGATCGAGGACCTTGGGGCCCCAGACCGAACCAAATGCAGGGTATGTTCGGCGCAATCAAGGTCTTGCGTCAACAGGCCGCTCGTGGAAACGGCCCAATAGGGAGAGGGGCAGGAATGGGTGGGGGTAGGGGTCGAACGAAGGTGAGCACCTGTATGTCGGCAAGGGCTTGGTTGAAACGTACTCTGACGGGTCGGTGCGGGCGAGTGTCAGCAACTGGCGCGACCGACGTGCCAGCGCTACCTCTGCTGAGCCCAGGGCTGCAGACAACGTAGTCTAAGAGAGATCCCCCTCCCGCAGCTGTGCTGGTGAAAAAGATGGCTTCCTGTGGGTAAGCTATGTTGGCCGACAGGCCAGCGGCGAAATCGCATTCAGCCAGCTCGGTGGGCGGGGGGGCATGTTGAAGTCACCCCCTTGAAAGATAGGGGGAGGAACAGGAACTGCAGAGGGCTCCAGCCTTGGCTACCATGCCCAGGTGGAACTCCGACAGTCCTTCGGAGTCCTTCAGGCAGAGCGAGCAGCACAGTGCAGCAACGCCGCCGGGCACCTGGACCCAGCACGCTGCAGCTCGGCCTGGAGTGACATCGGGGCCCTCGGTCGGGCGGGAGAGACTCGAGCAAGCCAGCCGCGGCGACGGGCCCGAGCGGACGCTTCGTCAATCGCGGCCTTCCCAGCTAAGTGGTGCTCCTGAACTAAACTTAAGTGGGCGGGGGGTTCTGCAAGCCGGGGTTTCAACGGCGTCCATATGGACGGGTTACTGGTTTCAAGCAGTGACTCAAAATCATCAGGGCCTGGGTGGGCTGGGGCTCTGAGGACGCGCCATTAAATTCATGAGAGCTGGAATCGTCTGGTTGCAACTTGTAGCAGCTTGGTCCCTTGGCTCACTGTAAACAGTCATTCGTAGCATACTGTCGCTCCCCCCCCCTTAGGCTCCTGGAGTAGGTGGCCCAGGGGGGGCGTCCTTTGACTGAGAGGTCGGCTCAGGAGCCGATGCGACATCACGCTGGGCGCGCTCACGAAGCGCATCCCCGTCAGGAGTCGCACCCTGCTTTGGTTCGTCAGCGGCGCCAGCCGCGGAGCCGCCGCCGCCTCTCGAACTCGAGCCTGAGCCTTTTTCCGCCAGGAGCTGCACCGTCGTTGGCCTTCCGGTTCTTGTGTGGCAAGCGAGCCAAGCCCTCTCGGTAGTCGCGCTTCGCTTCATCGAGGGTCTTGACCAGGTCGGTGTAGAGGGTACCCGCCAGCTGCTGCACGCCAGAGAGCAACTCCTTCTGCTTGGTCTGAAGTAATAGGATATCATCTGAAGAAAAATCGTACTCTGCCGGTGGTATGCCAAGCAGCTCATCCGCTCCAACAATGCTGATCTCATTCAGCTTGCCGTCCACCGAGTCACGCATCCATCTGCTTGGCGGTGTTGTTGACGGACTGCGGAGCCTGCTGCTTGCACGCAGGAATGGAGTTGGCCGGTGAGGTCCGTGTGGATGCGGTCCTGCTCTTCCAACTCTTTCTGATATTTGACGACGCCGTTGTGTTTCTTAGTGACTCACTCGCTTGCCTGATCAACTCGTCCAGCGCCTTCGCCAGCCGTCGTTCAGTGATCTTATCTAGCGCCAGATAAGTATCATGGGCTTGTCGCTGAGGTGGCTTAGGCGGTACTGGTCGATCCTTGGCCTCAACACGCTTGAGGGCCGCCGTGTACAGCTTGACGTTGGTGGTGTCGTTGTGCTTGTGCGCGATGTCGATGGGATGCTGTGGCTGCAGCCGAGTAGCCGTCGATCTTCTGTGGCTGCAGGCCGACGTTGAGCCGTTGGCCTGAAGCCGCTTGCTGTTGCTGGTGTCCATCTCCTTGCTGCCGCTGCGTCGGTTCTGGCCATACCCCTGGAGGCAGCTGCCCTGGGCCTGCCCTTCGGGGCCGCTTGCAGTGCTTGCAGGCAGTCAAACGGTGATCATTCTTCTTGCAGCGGCAGTCGGGAAAAGACACGTCCAGCGGTCGTCATGCTGAGCGCCGCCGTTGCCGTAACCAGGAACAACAAGGTGTACACCAGGATGCGGAGGGCTGCGCCATGAGGGCCGCTGCTGCGCATAGGATGTGCTGGGAAACGCCCATGGTGGGGAGCTGCCCCACGGCAACGGCTTGCTCGGGGCCATTGTGCTTTTGAAAGCGGAATCGTGCAAATCTTAGCCCGTTGGCACCTCGTGCCGCTCTGAAGTGGATGCCAGCAAACACAGTGTCCTGTGCCAGAACGGCTACGAGGAGGAGGGGGATGAGGAGGGGGAGGAGGACGAGGAGAAGGACACCAGGTAAGAACGCGAAGCATAATACTACTAATGATAAGGACGAGCTTACGAATCATTTTCAGAAGAAGAAGGGTGACAGTCATAACACAAATACCATACTAATAAACACACTAGTACTACTGATACTATTAATAGTAATACTAAAATAGCAATGATACTAATGCTTATAATCATAATCCTAGAGGAAAGGGAGGAGGTGGATGATGAGGAGGAGGAGGAGGAAGGAGGAATGATTAAGGAACATCAATCAAGACGAGGAAGAGGAGGATGAGGAGGAGGAGGAGGAGGAGGAGGAGGAGGAGGAGGAGGAGGAGGAGGAGGAGGAGGAGGAGGAGGAGGAGGAGGAGGAGGAGGAGGAGGAGGAGGAGGAGGAGGAGGAGGAGGAGGAGGGGGGGGAGGGGGAAGGACAAGCTAGGTGCGCTCGCGTCATATCTGACATCCTACCCCTCCCTCCCATCCCTTACCATGGCGTAGATCCCCTCTCTACTCACACAGTCGGATGTCGAGCAGGGCAATGATCCCGAAAGGGTACGCGATGCATTGTAGAGCACGGCATGGCATGGCGTAGAAGAGCACCGCAAAGCGTAGTATCAACCTAGCATTGCATTGCATGCCGTGGCATGGCACGGGAAATGACGCCAGCGCTGCAGCGGGAGCACGAGTCGGAACGAGCGGAAGCGCGGAAATGAGACGAGCGCTGCAGCGGGAGCACGATTCGGAACGAGCGGAAGCACGGAAATGAGGCCAGCGCTGCAGCGGGAGTACGATTCGGAACGAGCGGGGCCCGAAAATGAGGCCGGCACCTCAGCGAGAGCAGCATTCTGAAAACAAATGCAGGCGAAAACCCAACTCCAGGGAACCTGTGTGTAAAAAACAGTACGCGGGGGGGGTGTCGAGCACTTTCAAATCGTCATCAGGGGAAGAGGGAGAGTAGTATTCATATTGAGTAATTGTGGAGGAGGAGGAGAAGCAGGACGTGCAGGAGGTAGTGGCTGCAGCCAAGCAGAGGGAAAGTGTTGCACGCGCGTCAGGGGAACGTTTGACTCAAGTTCCTTACCGGGTTTGTGGATCCCTCAAGTTGGAGGTATCTTGGGCCCCTCGGGGCCTCTTAGGTGTCAGTGGCTTCTTGTGGCTCTATTAGGCCATCCTGAGAGCCTCGTAAGGCTACATGACGCCATCTCGGTCGACTGGGTGAATCTTGGAATTTGATTGGTGCCCTCTGGGGTTCTCATCGGGACATCCGTGGGCCTCTTGGAGCTTCTTGAGGCCCTGGTGGGCCCTCTTGGAATCTTCCCTGGGCCCGAAGGCCTGGGAGGCAGGACTTACTGAACAACTACTGCTTTTCCATGTTCGTGGAAGTCTGAGGCCTCTCTTGGGGCTTCTTTTTGCGCTCCGCGGGGCCTCCCCTCTGCCTGGCTGGGGCTTGTGGAGTCGCTCGGGCTGCTCTCTGGGCCGTGTCGTCCACGTCGGCGGTCCCGCAGGGCACCCTCGAGACACTCCCTGGGCGCCTCTCAAAGGGCCTCCTGGTCGGCTGCTGGCCTGAGGGCCCAGCAGGGATGCCGGCGGATCTTGGCAGGCAGGGATGGGGCCTGATATTGCCGGACGACGTGGATTCTCTGCCAGGGAAGGCCAAGGCGGCCCTGGAGAAGTCGAACGAGGAGTCGAGGGCGAGGGCGGAGGAGAAGGAGCGCGAGTTCACCTCCGAAAACTGCATCTACTTCCGCAAGCCCGACTGCGATCCCGGGATGTTCCCGCTGCAGGATAACATGGTGGTGAATTTCGAGGTGTACCTGGACAACAAGGGGCTTGGCGCCTGCAACATCACGTCCGCCGAAGTGGACGCCGAAGCATAAGCCTGATAAGCCACGAACCCTCGCACTTTGGCGGCACGGTGTCACCACAAGTTTTTGGAGTCTGGGTGATGAGACGATGGCGAGACTATGCGCACATGGAGTCTCACGACCGTTGCTGCACACGCTTGCGGGCGCAGGAATGCACATGGCATGGTTTTTGCGTTTTAGCGGATGCGTAGTTGTCTTAGATTCCGGCTCTGTGGAACGTGCGAAGCAGGCAGCCGAGGCTGGAGCGTGGTACACTCGCGCACTCTGCTGTGTGAACTCGTGCTGGGACCTCGAACATATACCCTTTCCGAAAATACAGCCAGCAATTATTGAGGATCACCAGATTTCGTAGACAGCAACAAGCAATCATACAGCCAGCAACAGCAGACAGCGTCTTGTCACACTGCTGCCCCTGAGCCCACCCGCTGCACCCGCATTGGTGCTCTCATGCGGGCCTGGCTGTCTGTCCTGTCCGTCAGTGTCCGTTCGATTTCTTTGCTGCGAGTCGGGCGCGGTGGATCACCGCACGCTTCCTGGGCACAGATGACGCACGCCGCGTCAAACATCGAGTCTCGTGGCACTTCGCGTGTCCCTGCCCTCCCCCGTCCAGAGCCGAGCCCTGGGCGCGAGTTGTCTCGAGCAGGGACGTGCAGGAGAGCCTGCAGCCGCTTGAAGAACAAATCGAAACTCGGGATTCGCCCGAGCAGAACTCTGAAGCAGCTATAATTGTGGAAGTCGATTAATGGAGAGGAAGCGTGCTGCCAAATAATTGCCAGATGTCCAAAAGATATGTCAAAACTGTTTTTAACATGACAAACATGTTTGGAACAGTTTTATAACATGTGTTATACAGATTAAACACATCTTAATTCACTGTTAGGATTGTTAGAGTGCCCAATGTCATGGCATCCACAAAACTATAAACTCCTCCTCCTCCTCCTCCTCCTCCCATCCGCCCCGAGCCCGGCCGCGCGGTGCGGCCCGAAGCCTGATCACCATACAGGTTTTTTTTCAGAGCCTGCGCTGGATGGTCAAATCGAAGCTGGGGTCAGCCCGAGCAGCACCCAACGACGGTCAACCCGGGGATCTCTGGGAGCGTCTTGGAGGCTCCTTCGGGCTCTCTATCGGGGTGCTTTCGGGAGCAGTTGGGGCTCCCTTGGGGTCTCTCGGGCCTCTTGGGAGCCTTCGGGGCCATCTTGGGGAGATCGATCAAAAGTTAGGGTGCTCTGCAACTAGCGTCCCGCTGCGGGAGCCACAAAACATTGCCCCTTGGGCCTCTTGGGGCTCTGCTGGGGTTCCATGGGGGGCTCTGGAGTGACTGCTGAGGCCTGTCTCGGGGCCCCCTCGGGCGATCCTGAGGCCACAGCGGGGCCAGGGTAGGAGTTTCAACAACGGCGGCAGCTTTTCCTGCCTGGAGCAGCTCCACGCAGCACCATGCGCTGACCTGTCCGTGCTGCTGCCGCCGAAACCGAAGCGGCGCCGTGCGTTCGCGGCTTCTGCCAGGGTGGCCGCGTTGAGGTGTGCCGCGTTGATACGCACTCAAAACGATAAGGACCACTTCGGGCTCCAGAGGGGCTCTGGTGGCTTTCGGGCCGTTCCTTAGATTTAGGTAGGGGAACCCATGCGTGGCCGAGGCTTGCCGTGGCTAGTAAAGCTCGGTCGCTCCTCAGTCAGCGTTCCTCATGGTAGCACGATGGCTGCATGCTGTTTATGCTTGCCCTACTCTCCTCCCCCAGGTCGGTCTGGTGTTCGTCGGTCTGGCATTCGCCTGGCAGCGAGAGGGGTAGAGCGAGGGGAGTAGGAGGACAGGGTGGACGCCACTCCAGAGCCTCCGCCCTGCCCGCACCCCAGGGCTCCCATTGCTGGGTGGCTCCGTCGTGTGCGCCCCTATGCTCTGTGACGCGTGTCGCCTGTGTGCACTTCTGCCCCGATCGGGGAGGCCGGCCTCCTCTGCGCCACACTCTCTCGCTGGCAACTCTTCGCTCAAAGCCGGGTTCCACCTCCCCGAGGGGCCTCCTGGCGGCCTCCTGTGGGCTCTCTGGGGGCCTCTGAGGGCCCAGAAAAGGCGCCGCTTGTTCTTCGGAGGCCGTCTCCCGGGTTTTCGCCGGGCCGTCTTGGGATCACCACTCGGTCGGTCGCCGTCGCCGCCGCCAGCGCGTGAGCAGGTCGCCGCCGTCGCGGCGCCATCTCCTGAGATCCGACGTTGCGAAACAAAATGAAGCATCGCGAACAAAAACACATACGGAGTCCTGGACCCCACCTTTCTGCGGCATTCTCTGAGCCGAATCGATATGTGATGGTCCCGAGGCCCGAAACCAGGCAAAAACGCCTGGTGTGAAACAAATGCAACGCCCAGATCTCAGGGTCTCAGGATGACCAGGATGACAGCGTGCGTGACGGGAAAGGCACCGAGGGGAGCAGGAGGTGCACGAGTAGGCCTGCTGGAGAGGAATAGACCTGGGAGGAGGGGTGGGGGGTGGGGAGGGACACCAAGCTCCACCGTCGTGTTTTTCGCAGCGTGGACCCTCAGAGCCCTGGACTTTTTCTCCCTGGGGGCCAGCGTTTCACCCCGAAGCGTTTTCTTTATCTCCTGGGGCCCAGAGTCGGGGGTGGACAGAACCCCCAACAGTGACACGTCGATCAGTGAATTGTCCGTTTTCGGTTCTCGAGATGGCGCTGTGGCCGTTATTTTCCACGCTTGCGCCCGCCAGGCTTGGGCCTCAGGTCGTTTTCACTAAACCACGTTTTACTAAAGGGAGGTCTGTCCATCCCCGACAGAGACGGCCCCTGGGTCCCGAAAACCGTGAACAAAAACCGTCCGCTGCGACTATGTCCCGACCCGGGGAGGCGGGGGGGGGCCCAGACATCTGGCGGATGAATCTTCGGTGTGATCGTTTTTTCGTCCATTGCTTTGCCGATCGGCGCGGGCCCTCGTGCCCCCCCCCCCCCATGGAGTAAATCCTGGCTGTGTTTGGCGTCTGGCTCAAGCACGTGGAGTCTCCACCACGGGACTCACTGTTGCAAACAGTCGCACTAAGCAGAGGTCCGGAGCCAGGCCCCCCCTCCCCCGCACTTCCGCCCGGTGTCGAAACGCCGAATAAGAGAACGTTCACGATCGGCCACGCGGCGAGGGGGGTATGGGGGAGGGGGGACGACTTCTTAGAAGCACCCCTGCTTCTTAGAAGACGCGGGTCTTGTCTACAGAGGATGTAGGGCCGGCGCCTTCAAGAAGCAGCCTTCTAAGAAGCCTTCGCCCCTCCTCCTACCCCCTTTGTGCGCGCCACCACTTCTGGTTTTTCAGTCCCAGAGTTTCTCATTCACGCATCGGCCTCTGAGGGCCACTTCCGGGCTCGAGGACCATTGGCAAGCGGTGTTTGGGGCCGGAAGCTGGCCCCTGGGCTGCCCCTGATCCGCGGAGTGTTTGGATGTTCTTGGGAGGCCCCTGCAGAGGAAACACATACCAATATACATACCTTTCGGATGGCCGCGTGGATTTGTTGGGTCGGCACCAGTAGAGGAAGAACAACGGCTATTATTCTTAAAAGCTTTCGGAGGGCCACGTGGATTCTCTTGTGTCGGTGCCAAGCTCCCCCCTGGCAGCGCCTCGGGCAAACCCCGTGGCGCGCTTCACGTGCCAGGGGAGGGGTGGGGTCCAGCGCCGTTTCAGTAAATCCGCGCAGACGGAGTCCTGTGCCGCGGAGGGGGAGAAACTATGACGACGACTGTGACGACGATGGCGACAGCGGCGGCGGCGGCGAGACGTGCACCGACGACGACGCCAAGGATGGCAGGCGATGAGCACGACAGGCGACGACGGACGCCAGCACCGAAGCAGGCCTGCCTTCTGCCCTGCGCCGTCGGCGCTGGCCCAGACCTTCGACGCCGTGCGAGCTTTTTGTTTGCGACGTGGGCTAATCGTGTTCGAAACGCAACACGTGCCGTGTTCAAAACGTCCGTTGCAATACGTTGCGTATTGGCTCAACGTGTTGGTCCACGTTTTGGCGAGTGTTTCGCGCCACACCTACGTTTCAGTCTGCGTGTCGAGCTCCGTGTCAACACGCTACGTGTTACGTGCTGCGTATCGGGGCAGCTAGGAGCTGAACTATACCGCCAGGATCTTGGAGTCTAAATCTCAGTCGCGGACTTAGGCAGTCGAGGTAGGTATTCAGGCTCGGATTTTTCCCAGCCTTCCTGTGGTGTTGGGCCCTCGTTTTGAAGAGACAGCGCCCCCGCGTTCCTCCTCCTCTTTCCTCCTCTTCTCCTCCTCCTCTCTTCCTCCCTCCTTCCTCCTTCCATCCGTGCCTCTGCCCTCCGCGTGTCTCAGTTTCGGTGCACCCCTCACACGTTACGTGACCCCGGCAGGAGCTCAACCGAGGGTCCCCGTGGCGCAGCCCGCATGCGTCCCCGACGCCCGTTTCGGCACACCCCTCACGCGCTTCGTGGCCCCATAGGGAGCTCCACCGAGGGTCCCAGTGGCGCAGTCAACAAGCGTCCCCGACGCCCGTTTCGGCACACCCCTCACGCGCTTCGTGGCCCCATAGGGAGCTCCACCGAGGCTCCCAGTGGCGCAGCCCGCATTCGCTCCCGCACCCAATTTTGGCACAGCCCTCACACGCTCCGTGCCCCCAGAGGAGCTCAGCCGAAGGTCCCAGGCCCGCATGCGTCCCCGCCACCCATTTCGATACACCCCTCACGCGGTCCGTGGCCCCGTAGGAGCTCCACCGATGGCCCCAGTGGCGCAGCCCCCATGCGTCCCCGCCGCCCATTCCGGTACACCTCTATCACGTTTCGTGGCTCCCATAGGAGCTCCACCGAGGCTCCCAGTGGCGCAGCCCGCATGCGCCCCCGCCGCCCATTTTGGCACGCCCCTCACATGCTTCGTGGCCCCATGGGAAGCTCGACCGAAGGACCCGGTGGCGCACGCAGCCCGCATGCGTCCGCGCCGCCGCCATTTCGGCACGCCCCTCACACGTTTCGTGGCCCCATAGTTAGGGACCCCACCGATGGCCCCAGTGGCGGTGCCCACACGCGCCCCCGCCACCCGTTCCAGCGCACCCCTCACACGCTTCGTGGCCTCATAGGGAGCTTCACCGAAGACGATATTCCCAACTGCGTGACTCACAGCTGCATCTGGTTGGGTCCTTCGCCAGGCTGGTTTTTCCCAACCCTCCTGTGTTGGGTTCTCGTTTGGGATAGAGCATTGTGGTCGAGTCTCCCTCTCCTTCTCCTCCCTCTTGCCTCCTTCCTCCTACTCCTTCCTCTCCCCTCTCTTGCCTCCTGCCTCCTACTTCCTGCCTCCTGTTTCCTCTTCCTTCTCTTCCTCCTCCCTTCTCTCCTTCGTCCTGCTTGCGTTGTAGCGCTGTTGTGACTCTGCCTCTCTCGTGTGCTGCTGGGAGTGGCTGCGAAGTGCGCCACTGTCGCCACTTCCGTGGGCTCCTGGGAGGCCCAGCGGAGTGGAGTTGCAAACAGATTCAGCCGAGACCTCGCGGCTCCTTGGGTGGCTGCGAAGTGCGCCACTGTCGCCCTTTTCGTGTCCTCCTGGGATGCCCAGCGGAGTGGAGTTGTAGACAGACCCAGCCGAGACCTCGCAGCACTCTGGGGGGCTGCGAAGTGCGCAAAGGTCGCCAATTTTGTGGGCTCCTGGGAGGCCCAGCGGAGTGCACTTGTAAACAGACCCAGCCGAGACCTCGCGGCACCCTGGGTGGCTGCGAAGTGCGCCACTATCGCCCTTTTCGTGGGCTCCTTGGATGCCCAGCGGAGTGCAGTTGTAAACAGACCCAGCCGAGACCTCGCGGCACCCTGGGTGGCTGCGAAGTGCGCCACTGTCGCCCTTTTCGTGGGCTCCTGGGAGGCCCCGCGGAGTGCACTTGTAAACAGACTCAGCCGAGACCTCGCGGCACCCTGGGTGGCTGCGAAGTGCGCCACTGTCGCCCTTTTCGTGGGCTCCTTGGATGCCCAGCGGAGTGCAGTTGTAAACAGACTCAGCCGAGACCTCGCGGCACCCTGGATTGCTTCGAACTGCGCCACTGTCGTCATTTTCGTTGGTTCCAGAGGGGCCCGGCGGAGTGCAGTTGTAAACAGACCCAGCCGAGACTTCGCGGCACCCTGGGGGGCTGCGAATTGCGCCACTGTCGCCAGTTTCGTGGGTTCTGGAGGGGCCCAGCGGAGCGGAGTTGTAAAAACTATCAGGCGAGACCTCGCGGCTCCTTGGGGGGCATGGGGTGCGAACTGCGCCACTGTCGCCAGTTTCGTGGGCTCCCGGGAGGTCCAGCGGAGTGGAGTTGCAAACAGACCCAATCGAGACCTCGCGGCTCCCCCGGGTGGCTGCGACGTGCGCCACTGTCGCCAATTTCGTAGGCTCCACTTGGAGGCCGTCTATTTTGCTTATTTCTGCATGTTATATATGTACATACATTTGCATATATATATATATATATATATATATGTATATACATGCATGCATGCATGTATGATTGTAGATATGTGTGCACTTATGTTTGTATACAGGTAGGTATATGCGTGTATGTATATATGTATGTATGTATGCATGTCTGTGTACGTGCATGCATATATACATGTATACCTATATATATGTAGACGTGTGTGTATGTGTCTATGTATATGTGTATGCACAGGACTGTGCACATGCATATGTATGTATATGTATATGTTTATGTATATGTATATGTATATTTGTATGTATATGTATATGCATATGTGTATGTACATGTTTAGCTGTATGCACTTGTATCGGCACGTATGCACACACACTTGGATATATGCATATGCATATGCAGCTTTCTACACACATATATATATATATATGTGTGTGTACATGCATGTGTATATGTATATGTATACGTATGTGTGTATATATGCATGCGTATGTACATGTGTGTGTTCAGTATATGTACATGCAACTGTTTATAGTCACCATATGCATAATATTATATGCATGCATACGTACACGCATATGTATGTTCATACTCATGTGCGCATGTATTTGCATATGCATATGTATACGTATATGTGTGCAGGTCTGTAACTGTATATGTACATGTATCTGTGTATGTATATGAAGGTGTCGGTACACATGTCCATATATATGTGTATATATATGCATATGTCTAGGTATGCGTATAGTTGCATGAGTATAAGTACAAGTATACCTGCACATCGATGCACATGTATGTAAGTGTATACATATATGTGTGCATTCGTATGTTTATGTCTATGTCTATGTCTGTGTATATTTATATGCATATGTATAGGTCTATGTATATGCGCATGCATGTGTATTCGTATATGTACATGTATTTGTATATGCACATGTCTTTGGATTTATATACTTTTGCGTATCTGTATATACACATGCATGATTATGTATTAGGTCTATGTCTTTGCATATGTACATGTATAGGTGTATGTATTTGTTTATGCATACATACATACATACATACATACACACATACATACATACATACATACATACATACGCACATACATCCATACATATATATGTATAGGCATCTGTGTATGTATATACGTATGGTTATATGTACAACATCGGCATCCGTCGTATGCTTAGAAAAAAGGGTTGGGCACGCCACTGGGTAAGTGGTTTAAATAACCTTTTCGGAAATATCTAGTAGCCCTCGGCCCATTCCGCCACCCTGCCTGGGTCGTGGGTATGAAGCCTAATGGATGTTCGTTGGGATCTCGTGGGAGGCCTCTCGGGGGCCTGTTGGGGGCAATTTGGACGCCTCTTGAGGGCAGTTCGGGGGCCTTTGGGGGCGGGCTTCTTGGGGTCCGCGTGGGGCCTCTTGGGACTTCCTGGGTGCCTCTTGCGGAGGAAGGCTCGGATTTTCGGTTCGTGTTCCCTCTCTTCGGCCCCTTTTGGGGCCATCTTGGGGCCCTCTTGGAGGCCTCGTGGGCCGTCTTGGGGCGGTCTTGGGGGCCTGGGCTGCCTGGAAGGGTCGGGAAGCTGCAAAGGCGAGAACTCCGAAATCCATGCAACACCTCGTGGAAATCAATGATTTTGGCCTCTCGAGAGGCCTCTTGGAGGCCTGTTTTGGGCGTCTTGGAGGCCTCTTGGGCCGTCTGGGGGCAATCTTGAGCGTCTTGGAGCTATCGTTCGGCGACTCGGGGCTCTCTTGGACCGTCTTGGGAGCTTCTTGGGGCCCTCTTCGCCTGTCTCGGGGCCTTCTTGGACACGAAAAATTAATGCGGGAATACTTCCCGAAGCCCAGGGGACGCGCGGGAAGCCCTGGTAAATTTGAGGATTTGGGGTCCGGACCCCTTCAAGACTTTGCAGGAGTGACGACCCACGGGACTATGCACAGGACCTGAGGTCACGCCCACTCCGTGCCCAGAGGCACGGTTCTCGACCCCGTCCCCGAAGCCGGCTCCTCACTGCGGGCTGGTGTTCGCGGCCCCGGGGCCCGAACAGACGCCCCCCCAGAGCCGGGCAGCCGGCCGCGCGTGGGAGCGACCCCTCGCCGGAGTGACCTCTGGTATGCGGCCTTCGAGGGGCGCGCGCGGGGGGTGGGGCCAGGCCGCCGCTGCCGCACCGCACGCAGCGATCCGCAGGCGGCGCCCCCAGTGCGGCCCTCCGGGCCCTGCGGCCGGAGCGGGCTGTCCTGGCCCGGGCGGTGCTCCTGCGGCCAGCGGAGCAGAGCTGTTCGTTTTTCGGCCCGTGCGCCGCCACGCGACGGGTGCAGTCGATCCCCCCAAGGTAGCCTGAGGATTCGCTCGAATCGCCCCACGCACTGCGCACCACGGGTCACTCTTGCCCAGGATCACCCTGCCGCGTGTAGCCGGCGGATGCCGCAAGCTGTATGTAGGGCAGGAGTCCCGCGCCGTGGCTCTTCTCCTCAGGACCTCAGGCCTTTGGGGGCCCACTCTTGCAGGGAGTCACGGCGTCGGGGACGGGTCTGCAGCTGCCGCCGCAGTGCGCCGCCGCCGCTGATGCCGCTGCCGCTGCTGAGCAGGCGTTTTTGCTCGAGGGGTGCCTGGCCAGGGCCGCGCCCCTGGGCTGGAGGGGCCCGCGCGAAAGTCCAGGGCACTTCAGCGCGCGGGAGGCCATGGGCAAAGGTACCCCTCGGGCTCCTGCCTCCGCTCCTCCCCCCTCCACCAGTTCCCCAAGCAGTGCCCGCTCTGGAGGTTCTTACTTCTGTGGCTGAGCAGTCGGCCTGTGGTCCCGCGCTTTCGCCTGGCGGGCTGCCGGCCGGTGGGCGCGCGTGCCCATCCCGTGCGCTGACTGGCGTGGTGCCCGCCCCGTGTGCTGGCTGGCGGTTCTCCTGGTTTCTGCGCGGTGCCCGCGCGTGGCCGCCTCATGCACGCCCGGTGCCCGAGCTGCACCACGCAGCAGGCACCGCGCCACCTAGATTGTACCACGTGGGTTGCAACGCACACCCTGCACCCCGTATGTTGCACGGCGCAGATTGCACTACACAGCTTGTGCCGAATAGTAGATGGCACAGCTAGTGGCCTTCGGCCCAACCCGCCACTGTGCCTGTGTTGTGGACCTCAGGCCTCTTAGATGCCTCATGGAGTTTCTTGGGGCCTCTTGTGGGCCTCCTGGCAGTCTCGGAGGCAATATTGGGGTCCAGGGCTCCTAGTGCCAATTCATGTTTTCCATATGTGGCTCTCGTGTCCCTCGTGGGGGCTTGGAGGCTGTCTTTTGGCAATCTTGGGGGCCTCCTGGGCTGGCTTGGATGCTCTTAAGACTGGAAAGGCGAGGAGGCTTCCTGAGGCTTCTGCAAAAGCCACGCAGCAACTCCCAAGAGCGCTCAGCAGCGCCGGAAAGCGTCCGTGGCTTTGGGCCCTGGGTCCCTTGAAGAGCACTGGCAAACTCAGTGCGTAGAGCCCGAAGGGACCTGAGGACACTCCGCTTAGAGGTGGGGTGCGGGCTATTGTTCGGCGAGTGCGCTGCGCGGCTGCTGCACGCCGCCGTCGCGTGGTTTCCCTGATTGCACTCCGAGACGGGGGGCTCTTGGGGTCTCTTGGGTCGCTCGGCAGCCTCTCGGGGGCCTCTTGGGGGCCTCTTGGGGCCTCCTGGCAAATCGCCTGGCCAAAATGGGTCCAACACCAAAGTCAAATGCTGGCAGCCATCGTGGACCCCAAGCACTGTGTTTCTAGCAATATGTGCGTTGCAATCTGTGCGGTGCAATATAGGTGGTGCAATCTATGTGGTACAGTTAAATTTTGTTCGCAGTGAGTTGTCAACTCCCATGCTCCTGCAAGCATCCTACCCACCCACCCGCAACTTGGTTTGCAACACGCATGCGTTGGCGATTGCGATGCACGCTTGGCGTTGGCTGGTGCATCTGTGCGGCCGCGCCAACCCCAGCACGTGCGCGCAGCGGCCAACTAGTATGGCGCCACCTACGCGGCCGCGGTGGCGCTGACCGCTGGGAGCATCCCAGCGGGCACTTCGGTGCGAGTCGGTGACTTGGGCGGGCGCGGTCTCATGGCAGCGTTGACAACGGAAGACACGATGATGATAGTGGCGGTGCTGGTGACGATGTTCGTGCCGACGAGGCGCAGCCAGTGCGGGCGCCGATGCTGATCACGCCGACGACGATGACGGCGTCCTCGCGTCGGTGATGGAGGTTTTGGAAAGGGTTCGACATGCACGCGCGGCCGACGCACGAGAGTGGCCCGCATGGTGTGACACAGATCGTGCCCCCCCCAGCACTCGTGCAAGGGCGTGCGAATGCTGTCGGCATGCGGCGCCAGAAAAAACGTTTGGCAGCATATCATGGACATACTGAAAATATGGTTTCCCACAGGATTCGCAAGAGCGCGCGCGCAAGTTTTTTTGAACATCGATGTTGCGAAACCATATGTGTTTTTTTTTTTTTTTTTTTTTTTTTTTTTTTTTTTTTTTTTTTTTTTTTTTTTTTTTTTTTTTTTTTTTTTTTTTATATGGGTTTTTGGGTATTCGGTTTTGATATCGTTACGAACACTGAGTTTGTTGGAAGGATTTCGACATGCGCGCGCGACGCCGCGCGCGTGTGTGCACTTCGTCCCTTTTTTGCAAAGGGCTCTCGCGACGGCACGCGTGCAAAGGCGTTCGAACGATGTCGGCACGCGCGCGCGAAGCCCGTTTGGTAGTATGTTCTGACCTTGTTGAGCAACTGAGTGTTTTTTTTTTTTTTTTTTTAAGAATTCGCAATAGCGCGCGCAAGTTTTCTGGGAAACCCGTGTTGCGAAACCTTGTGTTTGTTTGTAGGTTTTTTGGACACTCGATTCTGACATCCTTGCGAAATCTAGGGTTTTCCAATGAGTTCGGCAAGTGCGCGCCGCGACGCGCGCGTGTGCACTTCGTTTTTTGTATGCAAAGGGGTTCTTGACAACTTATGCTTTTTGAGAAGCGAGTGTGCGCGCATATTTTTCCAGATGATGGCGGGGGGGGGGGGGGGCAAGAACGGCTGGGCTGGGATGGTACGGATTCATATTTAGGGTGGACTATGGGGCCGAATAATGTGTAACTTGCATTACCAACAAGGGGAGTCGATAATCCCGGGGGGGGGGGATGAGGGAGAGTCTCAATTTTTTGAGAAAGGAGGGTCTACGGGTGCAATTAATCTTGACCGTCTTGAAGCTGTCCTCTCCACTGCTCGTGCAAACATCCCACCCTCCCACCCGCAACTTGGTCGCAAGACCTCTTCAGACAAGACCGTGACGGTTGGTACCACATGGCACTTGGCCACGACACCGATGCCGACGACGACAGCGACATTGACGACGACGGCGCCGCCGACAGCGACTGCGACGACACCGACGACGTCTCCAATGTTTTCGACGGCGACAACGGCGACGACGACACCGACGACGACGACAACGACGCCGACGACGACGACGAAGACGACGACGACGTCGCCAACGGAGACGACGACGAGGGAGGAGAAAAAACGACGACGGCGACAACGACGACAACGACGATGGAGGAGGGAAGACGGCGACGACGCCAACGACGAAGAAGGAGGAAGGACGGCGACGCCGACGACGACAACGACGAGGGAGGAGGGAAGACGACGACGATGACAACGACGACGAAGACGACGACGACGGCGACGAAATGAAAGGACGACGACGAGACGCCGACGACGGACGACGACGACGAGGGAGGAGGATAACGACGAGGGAGGAGTGAAGACCACGACGACGACGACGACGACGACGGCGACGAAATAGGAGGGACAACGACGAGACGCCGACGAAGACAACGAGGGAGGAAGGACGACCACGGCGACAACGACGACGGAAACGACGACGACGCCAAGACGACGACAACGACGACGAGGAAAGACAGAAGACGACGACGGCGACGACGACGACGACGACGACGACGAGGGAGGAGGGAGGACGACGACGACGACGACGACGCAAGAGCGCGCGCGCACGCTTTTGTTGAACATCCGTGTTGCGAAACCTTGGGTTCTTGTAGGTTTTTTGGACGCATGATTTTGAAATCCTTGCGAAACCGATGGGTTTTGAAGGTTTTCGGCATACGCGCGCGACGACGCGCGCGTCTGCACTTCGTTTCATTTTTTGCAAAGGATTCTCGCGACGGCACACGCGCAAGGGCATTCGGCAGATTTCGACATGCGCGCGCGCGAAGCCCGTTTGGTAGCATTTTGTGAAAATCTTGAAAAACCTATGGTTTTCTTAAGATTTCGCAAGAGCTCGCGCGGAAGCTTTTTTAGCAAATCAGTGTTGCGAAACCATGTGTTTTTGTATGCGTTTTGGGACTCGATTGCGAAATCCTTCCGGCACCGGAGGTTTTTGAAGGATTTCGGCATGAGCGCGCGACGACGCGCGCGTGTGCACTTCGTCCCGTTTTTTGCAAGGGATTCGTGAACAAGTGCTATGTTAGAACAAAACAGGTCACCGCATAATGTTTTTTACCAGGGAACCTCAGGGGGGGAACCCGGCCTGGCTGGGATGGTATGATTTCATATTTAGGATGGACGAGTGTGCAGAATACATATGTATATATATATGAAGTCATATTATCCCAGGGGGAAGCGATAAGTCCGGGGGGGGGGATAGAGTTTTTTGTTTTTTGTTGAAAAAAAATAAAAAAATAAAAAAAAAACAAAAAATATAAGAAAATTAGAAAATATAGAAAGAGGAGACCTCCACTGCTCGCGCAAACATCCCACCCACCCACCCGCAACTTGGTCGCAAGACTTCTTAAGACAAAACCGTGACGGGAGGTACCACATGGCACTTGGCCACGACACCGACGCCGACGACGACAACGACAACGGCGACGACGGCGCCGCCGACACCGACTACGACGACACCGCCGACGTCGACGTCGACGAAGACGACGACGCCGACGCCGACGACGACGACGAAAACGACGGCGTCGCCAACGAAGACGACGACGAGGGAGGAGGGAGGACGACGACGGCGACAACGACGACAACGACGATGGATGAGGGAACACGGCGACGACGCGAACGACGAACAAGGAGGAAGGACGGCGACGCCGACGACGACAACGACGAGGGAGGAGGGAAGACGACGACGACGACAACGAGACGAAGACGACGACGACGGCGACGAAATAGGAGGGACGACGACGAGACGCCGACGACGGACGACGACGACGACGAGGGAAGAGGATAACGACGAGGGAGGAGTGACGACGACGACGACGACGACTACGACGACGACGGCGACGAAATAGGAGGGACAGCGACGAAACGCCGACGAAGGCGACGAGGGAGGAAAGACGACCACGGCGACAACGACGACGGAAGCGACGACGACGCCAAGACGACGACGACGAGGAAAGACAGAAGACGACGGCGACGACGACGAGGGAAGAAGGAGGACCACGACGGCGACGACGCAAGAGCGCGCGCGCACGCTTTTGTTGAAAACCCGTGTTGCGAAAGCTTGTGTTTTTGGAGGTTTTTGGAGACACGATTTTGAAATCCTTCCGAAACCGATGGGTTTTGAAGGTTTTCGGCGTACGCGCGCGACGACGCGCGCGTCTGCACTTCGTTTTATTTTTTGCAGAGGATTCTCGCGACGGCACACGCGCAAGGGCGTTCGACAGATTTCGACATGCGCGCTCGCGACGCCCGTTTGGTAGCATTTTGTGAAAATCTTGAAAAACCTATGGTTTTCTTAAGATTTCGCAAGAGCTCGCGCGGAAACTTTTTTAGCAAATCGGTGTTGCGAAACCCTGTGTTTTTGTATGTTTTTCCTAACCAGCCTGTGATGTTGGGTCCTCGTTTTGAAGAGACGGTGCCCCGCGTCTCTCCTCCTTCCTTCCTTCCTCCTCCCCCTCATCCCTCCTCCCTCCTCCCTCCTCCCCCTCTTCCCTCCTCCCCCTCCTTGCCTTTGCTCTCGGCACACCTCTCGCACGTGTCGTAGCCCCATCGGGAGCTCCACCGAAGGTCCCAGTGGCACAGCCCGTATGCGTCCGCCACACCCAGCACAGCGTTTCGTGGCAGCGCAGGGAGCCCCACCGAAGGCCCCAGTGGGGGGGGAACGACAGGTTCGTTCAGTGTTTGGGCGCCAGTATCGGGTTCGCAGGACATCAAGCGCCAATGGGGCAGGGTTGTCACACCCTTCGAAGACGTTGGTCGGGCGAGCGGGACATTAAAAGAGAACCGGTCGCTCACGAGTGGGCCGTCCATATTGGGCGGGCGGGCGGGACATTGAATGCAACCGTCGCAATGTCATGCAAGTGGGTTAAGTGAAACATATCAAACGCCGAAGACGACGGTCGAGCGAGCGGGACATGAAATCGGACTCTTTATTTAGAAATGGTGCGTCCAAGCGGGCGGGCGACACATTGAATGCAACCTTTATTCTGCAATGGGAGATATTGAAGGGAAAATCTGTCACACCCGCCGAAGACGCAGGTCGGGTAGGCGGTACATGACATGAAACCATTACTCAGAGATGGAGTGTCCATGTCGGGAAGGCGGAACATGAAATGCAACCGTCATTTTGTGATAAGGCAGGGTTGGGGGCAGATCTGCAAACCTTCAAGAAGGGCCCCACCCTTCCCACCCTTCTTCACTCAGTTCTCGGGGGCCCCCGCCCCCTCGCGTGGGGGGGGGGGGGACCCCCAGGTTGTCGGGCCCCCCCCAGAGGTTCAGAGCCCAGAGCCGTTTTACGTTTTAGGGAAGCCCCCCTTCCCGTCGAATCCGGGAGGGACCCTACAAGCGACCACAGAAAGAGCTCTTGCTTATAATACAAGACAGCTGACTAACATTTATCAAATGCCGCTTGTTTTTGCAACCAAAAGTTGCTAGAGTTCAGCGGCGCGCACTCGCTGGAATCATAAAACCTTTTTCTCATATAACACCCAAAAAAGGAAACATGTCACACGAGAGCATGCGTTTCCACGCGCGCGCATGTCGAAGCCATTCTGCAGTCATCGCGCAACCATCAACTCTGCCAACTTGTAGCATGCGGCCCCACGCGCGCACCTCCGCGCGCACGCCGAGATCCTTCCAGAACCCACGGCGTTCTGAGCGTTTCAGGGCAGAGTCCTTGGGATACACACGAACGCCCAGTGGTTTCCAATCTTACACCTGCCAGGGGATCTGAATCTCTGCGCGCAGGTAAAGAGTGGATGCCCGCACTAGTTGCACCCGGTAGATTGCACGACATATATTGCATGCCATCGATTGCAGCACATAGAGTGCATAGCGAGTCTGTCAGAACACTCTGTTTAGGGTCCACGTTGGCAAATGCATTCCAAATGGCTCGCGAGGTACGGGCAGTCTCAGAAGTTCTTCCTCTGCTTATGAGAGTCGGTCCGTGGCGGCCCCCCACCAGACCAAGTTCTGCTCGGGTTTCGCATGATGGTTGTGCCCACAGGTTGCTCAGGCGGGTGTTTTTTTCTTGCTTGCGTGCTTGATTGCTTGGTTGCTCACGCGGGTTGGCTTTGTTTGCTTGCTTACTTGCTTGCTTGTTCGTTCTCTCGCTCGCTCGCCTGTGCCCAGGTATCGCTCGGATCACATTGTCAGCTCAGCTACCCCGATGCAATTACATGCACATCATACATGTGTATCTTTCACCACGCCGACTCGGAGGCAACGCTTTTTTTTCATGTCAGTTGAACATTCGTGGGCGATCAGCAGACGTGGCAATATTGTTTCCGTATCCCAGCAAAGGCGGTGATTCCACCAAGTTTGTCCGGGCGCCTTGGGTAAAGCAGGAGGCCCCGAAGAGGTCAACATACCAGTCCGCGTATGACAGCTCCTACAAGGGCAAGGGCAAGGGTAAAGACAAGGGCAAGGGCAAGGGCAAGGGGAAAGGTAAAGACAAGGGCAAGGGCAAGAGGAAGGGACCGGCCCCCTTCGACTCCGAGTTCTGGGAGGTCAAGAAGGCGGACGAGAATAGAAAAGCGCTGGCAGGCACCTTCACTGGCACAATCAGCAAGTATCGGAGACGTCTCCGGCCAGTCCACGCCGCCCCCTACCTTTCTCCGGAAACATTTAACTACATGGCCAAGCATTAGGCCAGATTTTGGCCACGCTACTTGACCGTAAGAAGGTTCTCACGAGCTGCTGGGCTGTGTGCCACCGTGGTTGGTTGTTGGACCTCGTGGGCCCTTCTGGCGGCCGCTGTGGCCCTCCGGGGCCATCTTGTGGGTCCCGGGGATTGTCTCGGAGTCCTCGTTGGCCACCTTGGGGGCGCCAGGAGGCTTCTTGGGGGTGTATTGGGCTATCGAAGGGGCCTCTTGGGAGCGCCGCCTTTGGGACTCTTGGGGATACATGGGTTTATCTCGGCGGCCCCTCGGTAGTGCTTGAAACGCTTCCCGGGGGCGTCTGGGGCCATCTCGGGGTCCCCCTCGGGTGCGTCTCGGGCTCGCTCGGAGCCGTCGGGGAGCCCTCTGGGCCGGAAAGGCGCGACGGGCGAACACCAGAGGAACAGCAGATTGGTTTTCGGTATTTTCCGCCTCTCGGGTGCCATCTGGGCCATCGTGCAGGTGTGTCGGAGGCCTCGGGTGGGAGCAAGAGTTTTTGGAAGGCCCCACGGTGCACTGCCTCTCTCCGCTCCGCCGGCCCGAAGGCCTGGGAGACAGAACTTACTGAACAACTACTGTTTTCCATGTTCGTGGAAGTCTGAGGCCTCTCTTGGGGCCTCTTTTTGCGCTCCGCGGGGCCTCCCTGGGGCTGGGGCTTGTGGAGTCGCTCGGGCTGCTCTCTGGGCCGTGTCGTCCACGTCGGCGGTCCCGCAGGGCACCCTCGAGACACTCCCTGGGCGCCTCTCAAAGGGCCTCCTGGTCGGCTGCTGGCCTGAGGGCCCAGCAGGGATGCCGGCGGATCTTGGCAGGCAGGGATGGGGCCTGATATTGCCGGACGACGTGGATTCTCTGCCAGGGAAGGCCAAGGCGGCCCTGGAGCAGTCGAACGAGGAGGCGAGGGCGAAGGCGGAGGAGAAGGAGCGCGAGTTCACCTCCGAAAACTGTATCTACTTCCGCAAGCCCGACTGCGATCCCGGGATGTTCCCGCTGCAGGACAACATGGTGGTGAATTTCGAGGTGTACCTGGACAACAAGGGGCTTGGCGCCTGCAACATCACGTCCGCTGAAGTGGACGCCGAAGCATAAGCCTGATAAGCCACGAACCCTCGCACTTTGGCGGCACGGTGTCACCACAAGTTTTTGGAGTCTGGTTGATGAGACGATGGCGAGACTATGCGCACATGGGGTCTCACGAACATTGCTGAACACGCTTGCGGGCGCAGGAATGCACGTGGCATGGTTTTGGCGTTTTAGCGGATGCGTAGTTGTCTTAGATTCCAGCTCTGTGGAACGTGCGAAGCAGGCAGCCGAGGCTGGAGCGGGGTACACGCGCGCACTCTGCTGTGTGAACTCGTGCCGGGACCTCGAACATATATCCTTTCCGAAAATACAGCCAGCAATAATTGAGGATCACACCAAGCAATCATACAGCCAGCAACAGCAGACAGCGTCTTGTCACACTGCTGCCCCTGAGCCCACCCGCTGCACCCGCATTGGTGCTCTCATGCGGGCCTGGCTGTCTGTCCTGTCTGTCAGGGTCCGTTCGATTTCTTTGCCGCGAGTCGGGCGCGGTGGATCACCGCACGCTTCCTGGGCACAGATGACGCACGTCGCGTCAGAAAGCGAGTCCTTTGGCACTTCGCGTGCCCCTGCCCCTCCCCCCGTCCAGAGCCGAGCCCTGGGCGCGAGTTGTCTCGAGCAGGGTTGTGCAGGAGAGCCTGCAGCCGCTCGAAGAACAAATCGAAACTCGGGATTCGCCCGAGCAGAACTCTGAGTCAATTATAATTGTGGAATGTGGAAGTCGATTAATGGAGAGGAAGCGTGCTGTCAAATAATTGCCAGATGTCTAAAAGATGTTGCACAACTGTTTTAATATGTAAAAGCATGTTTGAAACATTTTCTAGAACAGGACTACACATATTGAACACATCTTTAGTCCACTGATAGGACTGTTAGAGTGCCCAATATCATGGCATCCACAAAACTATAAACTCCTCTTCCTCCAGGTCCTCCTCCTCCTCCTCCTCCTCCTCCTCCCATCCGCCCCGAGCCCGGCCGCGCGGCGCGGCCCGAAGCCTGATCACCATACAGGTTTTTTTCAGAGCCTGCGCTGGATGGTCAAACCGAAGCTGGGGTTCAGCCCGAGCAGCATCCAACAGCGGTCAACCTGGGGATCTCTGGGAGCGTCTTGGAGCCTCCTTCGGGCTCTCTATCGGGGTGCTTTCGGGAGCAGCTGGGGGCTCCCTTGGGGTCTCTCGGGCCTCTTGAGAGCCTTCGGGGCCATCTTGGGGAGATCGATCAAAAATTAGGGTGCTCTTCCACTAGCGTCCCGCTGCGGGAGCCACAAAACATCGCCCCTTGGGGCCCTCTTGGGGCTCTGCTGGGGTGCCATGGGGGGCTCTGGAGTGCCTCCTGAGGCCTGTCTCGGGGCCCCCTCGGGCGATCCTGAGGCCATAGCGGGGCCAGGGTAGGAGTTTCAACAACGGCGGCAGCTTCTCCTGCCTGGAGAAGCTCCACGCAGCACCATGCGCTGACCTGTCCGTGCTGCTGCCGCCGAAACCGAAGCGGCGCCGTGCGGTCGCGGCTTCTGCCAGGGTGGCCGCGTTGAGTTGTGCCGCGTTGATATACACTCAAAACGATAAGGACCACTACGGGCTCCAGAGGGGCTCTGGTGGCTTTCGGGCCGTTCCATCTATTTAGGTAGGGGACCCCATTCGTGGCCGAGGCTTGCCGTGGCTAGTGAAGCTCTATTGCTCCTCAGTCAGCGTTCCTCATGGTAGCACGATGGCTGTATGCCGTTCATGCTTGCCCTACTCTCCTCCCCCGGGTCGGTCTGGTATTCGTCGGTCTGGTATTCGCCTGGCAGGGATAGGGGTAGAGCGAAGGGAGTAGGAGGACAGGGTGGACGCTACTCCCGAGCCTCCGCCCTGCCCGCCCCCCAGGGCTCCCATTGCTGTGTGGCTCCGTCGCGTGCGCCCCCATGCTCTGTGACACGTGCCTCCGGTGTGCACCTCTGCCCCGATCGGGGAGGCCAGCCTCCTCTGCGCCGCATTCTCTCGCTGGCCACTCTCTGCGCTCCAAGTCGGGCTCCGCCTCCCCGAGGGGCCTCCTGGCGGCCTTCTGTGGGCTCTCCGGGGCCCTCTGGGGGCCTGGAGGCCGTCGCCGGGGTTTCGCGGGGCCGTCTTGGGATCACCACTCGGTCGGTCGCCGTCGCCGCCGCCAGCGCGTGAGCAGGTCGCCGCCGTCGCGGCGCCATCTCCTGAGATCCGACGTTTCGAAACAAGATGAAGCATCGCGAACGAACACAAATACGGAGTCCTGGAATCACCTTTCTGCGGCATTCTGTGAGCCGGATCGATCTGTAATGGTCCCGAGGCCCGAAACCAGTCAAAAGCGCCTGGTGTGAAACAAATGCAACGCCCAGATCTCAAGGTCTCCGCCCCGCGCAGCCCGAGGCACTGGCGCGCCACCAGTTCGGCAACTTCGTGGTGCAGCGGACGCTGGAGCACTGCTCGAAGGCCAGGATGCACGCCTGCGTGGAGAAGGCCGCCGTGGGCCCTGCGGAAGGGACCAGGCAGCGGCAGCATCTGATCGTCAGCGCGTGCCAGGGTGTTGGTGAGCTGGTCGTGGTGGTGGTGGTGGTGGTGGTGGTGGTGGTGGTGGTGGTGATGATGATGATGATGATGATGATGATGATGATGATGATGATGGAAAGAGCGTGTTCTACCGCTGCTGGCGGAAACCGGGGGGGGGGTCACCACCGGTTCGACCCCCTCCCCCCCTCCCAGTCCATCATGAAGGGGGGGGGGGGGTCACTACCGGTTCGAACCCCCCCCCCTCGAAAACCGGGGGGAGTCATTACCGGTTCGAACTCCCCTCCCCCCTCCTCGAAAACCGGGGGGGGAGTCACTACCGGTTCGAAGCCCCCCCCCTCGCCGCCGGCAAACGATGCCCGCTCCTCGGGACAGTTGGAGAATGGTGGGGATGTTGGGACAGTGGTGGGAACGGTGGTGGTGGGGACAGTGGTGCGGGGATAGTGGGACAGTGGTGCGGACAGTGGTGGGGACGGTGGTGGTGGGGACAGTGGTGAGGGGACAGCGGGACAGTGGTGGGGACAGTGGGACAGTGATGGGGACGGTAGTGGTGGGTACAGTGGTGAAGGCGGTGGTGCGGACAGTGGTGGGACAGTAGTACAGTGGGGAAAGTGGTGGGGACAGTGGGGACAGTGGGACAGCGATGGGGACAGTGGGGACGGTGGGACAGCACAGTGAGGACAGCGGCGGGGACAGTGGGACAGTGGTGGGAACAGTGGGGACAGGGGGACAGTGGTGGGGACCGTGGGGAAAGTGGGGAGAGTGGTGGTACAGTGGTGGTGGCGACAGTGGTGAGGGCGGTGGCGAGGACGGCGGTGGGATAATGGGACAGAGGTGCAATAGGGACAGTGGTGGGGACAGTGGGGACAGTGGTGGGAACAGAGGGACAGCTCAGGGGGACAGCGGCTGGGGCCGTGGAGAAAGTGGGGAGAGTGGAACCGTGGTGGGAATAGTGGTGGGGACAGTGGGGACAGTGCGACTGTGAGTGGGGGCACTGGTGAGGACAGTGGTGACGGTGGTGGGAACAGTGGGGACAGTGGTGGTGAGGACAGTGGTGCTGGGGACAGCTGTGGGGGTCGTGGTGCGGACGGTGGTAGGGACCAGGAGTCGTTTGCTGGCGGGTGAGCGGTGGGGGGGAGGGGGGGGAGGGGTTCGAACCGGTAGTGACCCCCTTGGTTTTCCGGGGGGGGGGGGGGTTCGAACCGATAGTGACCCCCCCGGTTTTCCGGAGGGGAGGGGGGGGGGGGAGGGGAGGGGTTTTCTGGGGGAGGGGGGGGGGTCCAGCAGGGGGGGGAGATGTTCGGAGAGGGGGGGGGACCCCCGGGTTCCAGAGGAAGAGGAGGGGGAATTTTCCACAGTAAAGCGGCGGTGGATCACGCTCTCTCTGATGATGATGATGATGATGATGATGATGATGATGATGATGATGATGATGATGATGATGATGATGATGATGATGATGATGATGGTGATGGTGATGGTGATGGTGATGATGATGATGATGATGATGATGATGGTGATGATGATGATGGTGATGATGATGATGATGATGATATGATGGTGATGATTATGAGTATGATGATGATGATGGTGGTGGTGTTGGTGATGATGATGCTGACGCTAATGATGATGATGCTGATGATGATGCTGATGATGATGACGATGATGATGACGATGATGCTGCTGCTGCTGCTCATGATGATGATGATGATGATTATCATGATGATGATGATGATGATGATGATGATGATGATGATGATGATACTGCTGATGCTGATGATGATGCTGATGCTGATGATGCTGATGATGACGATGATGACGATGATGATGATGATGCTGATGATGATGATGATGACGATGATGATGAGGAGGAGGATGAGGAGAAATTGGATGATGATGATGATGATGATGATGATGATGATGACGATGATGATGATGATGATGATGATGATGATGATGATGATGATGATGATGATGATGATGATGATGATGATGATGATGATGATGATGATGATGATGATGATGATGATGATGATGATGATGATGATGATGATGATGATGATGATGATGCTCTGATGATGATGATGAATGAGTGATGATGATGATGATGAAATGATGATGATGCTGATGATGATGTGATGATGATGATGATGAATGATGATGATGATGATTGCTGATGATGATGATGATGATGATGATGATGATGATGATGATGATGATGATGATGATGATGGATTGATGATGATGATGATGATGAGATGATGATGATTGATGATGATGATGATGGATGATGATGATGATTGATGATGATGATGATGATGATGATGAGTGATGATGATGATGATGATGATGATGAGATGATGATGATGATGATGATGATGATGATGATGATGATGATGATGATGATGATGATGATTGAGGAGGAGGAGGAGGAGGAGGAGGAGGAGGAGAGGAGGAAGAGAAACATGAAGAGGTGGAGGAGGGAGGAGGAGGAGGAGGAGGAGGAGGAGGAGGAGGAGGACGAGGAGGAGGAGGAGGATGAGGGAGGCGGAGGAGGAGGAGGGGAGGACGAAGAGGTAGGAGCAGGAGGAGGAGGAGGAGGAGGAGGAGGAGGAGGAGAGGGGAGGAGGAGAGGAGGAGGGGAGGAGGAGGAGGTGAAGAGGAGGAGGAGGGAGGAGGAGGAGGAGAGGAGGGGGCGGAGGAAAGGAGGAGGAGAGGAGGAGGAGGAGGGAGATGGGAGGAAGAGGAGGAGGAGGAGGAGGAGGGAGGAGGAGGAGGAGGAGGATGAGGAGGAGAGAGGAGGAGGAGGAGGAGGAGGAGGAGGAGGAGGAGGGAGGAGGAGGAGGAGGAGGAAGAGGAGGAGGAGGAGGAGTAGGAGAGGAGGGAGGATGTGGAGGAGGAGGAGGAGGAGGAGGTGGAGGAGAAGGAGGAGGACTTCGGAGTGGAGGAGAGACTGACAGGTCAACTTTTCCAGGTTCCCATGGAAGCCCCCCCCCCAGTCCCGACAGTAGAGCAGATCCGCACAGTCTTGAAGAAGTTCAAGGCAGACGCCGCGATAGGCATCGACGGGTGGAGCCCGAAGGTCACGCAATTGCTTAACGACGATGCCTTGTCCGCTTTTTGCCTGCTTTGATCGGTGATAGAAACGGAGTTTTTGATTCCAGAGCAGTGCGACCTCGCGTTGATTGCGTCCTCTAAGAAGCCAGTTGGAGGGTTTAGGCCGATAGGAGTGCCAGCAACATGTATTCGAATATCGGGAACTATTCGGTGGGAATAGGCGTCGCACTGGGAGTGGGATCATACTATGTCATGCGTGTGCGGCGCCAACGGCAAGAGCTGCGAGCGTGCAGTTTTGCAGCAGGCAGCCGTCTCGGAAGCGGCCGCTTCGATCGGAGCTTGCGCAGGCCCTGGCTTGGTCGACCTTGGGAAACGTTATGATACGATCCTTCATGATGTCTTGTGACACGCGTGTCAGAAGCACAAGTTCAACCTCAGAAGGGCCCGTCTCCTCCTCAAGGTTTACGGGGGCCCCAGAAGGCTGAAAGCTCGGGAAGTCATATCTAGCGTCGTCGTCCCCACTCGCTCGTTTATAGCAGGCTGTTCGTTCTCTACGGCCTTGCCCAGAGTTGTGGTTCAGGACGCCCTAGAGTACATGCAGCCGAGGTGGCCGTCCCTGACCCTCTATGTCA